GCAACAGTGCTACCAACTGCGCCACCTTGCAGCCCCATGAATACATCAGTTTTACTCACGTACGTCATCAATAAGATTCAGAATATCCTTGTAACCCCTGAACTTTTGCTCCTTTCATACCAACAAACACAGAAAAGGCGTTTTATTGGTTGAACTTGGATGGTAAAAAATAACACTTGCTGGTTCAAATATGCCCGTAAAAACAACAGAAAAGGCACTTTCGGGTAATAAACACACTCATATTACAAAGTCAAACGCTATTGTTGCTGTGTTATTGGTAACTTAAAATGGTTTACGTCACTTTAAAGCGGCGAAGACTTTGTGTAATTTGCTTCAGAATGGGGCTGATGCCATTCAGCAGCAGCAGAACTCTCACTCGGCTCAGAGGAGAGCTTTTCCAGCGCACAAAGCTGTGTTGTGTGTCCACGTCCCACAGCGGATTGAATCTTTTTTTTGCTTTTTCTTCTCTTCTGTCTCGTTTTGATAAAATTTGCTGTTTTAAGCCGGCGCAGAAATCATTTGATAACGAGATAAGATGTCGAACATATACAACGGTGCGCTTGGTATAAAAGATTCAAAGGATACTATATCAAACAAGCTGTGAATAATTAACGACACCAGGATGAGTCTGAACCCTAATTAAAGCTTGAACATGAGTAAAATACTCTCCTTTTAGCCGCATGTATATTAACCGGACCAGCAGATGAATATTTAAAGATCATGTGGAGTTCATTTCATGTAGAATTAAGCAAAGAGAAACATCTGGGTTTGTCTGCTGAGATGAATCCTGACTTGTTCACTCCTGAGCTGCGAAACGTTATTTTTCTAGGAAGGATTTCTGAAAGTGTATAAAATGTGCTGTCTGCTCTATATAAACCCAGCTCGTGACCCCACCCATTCAGACTGTTCTAGGCACGCCCGTGACGGGATTATTGTGCAAAAGCTCTTAAGTAAATCCCACTTTCTTCACAGACTACAGCGCTCCTCTCCTCATGCCTCAGTAGTATTTTTTCCGAGATATCCGGTTTTCAGAGGGTTAAAAGGGATCCCGAGGCTGTTCCCACAAGCTCTCCCATTACAGTTTACAGCCCGAGCTGCAAAAAAAAAAAGGTCCCACGTAGTGTGTGCATGTTTGTGTACACACATTAGTGGAGTGTGTACGAGTGTACATAAGTGTTGTTGACTGTACCATCATTAACACCCAGCTGGCTGCACACTCTACGAGGGGGGGCTTGGAAGCCAGCTCTGGATGCAGCAGGCGAGTCACGTAACGTCTCCGAACATCTGTGTGAAAAAGGGGGCTAAGGCTGAGATTAAACACGAGCCACGGAGGCTGCACACGCCTGCTAACACATGTGTTGATGAACCTGACGCGTTCTTTGATGGTGAAAGCTGTGAGGGTTTTTTTGGAAAACGCCAACTGGGATAATCAGGCCGGAGGATGGAGAAGCGCCCGTGGCGATGGTGGGAGTGACGGCGTCGGCAGCCACATGTCACCTCCTCCAGAAACATCTCTCCAAGTAGCATGAAGTCGGCCTGACCACCCTGAGGGGACAGGTCCCTTCAGTAAATGATCACGACCCGGGCAACATCATTAGGCGACTGCTGTGTGGAACAGGCTCCTCGGCAGAGTGATAAGCAGAAACACTCCACTGGGAAATGCTTACGGTGCACTTAGAGGTGACAGGGATAATATGGGCCATGCACTTGTTATTCTCCGCACAGCTGCACATCATTTGTCCGCTTCGGCTATAAATAAAGATCTGTCACAAATCAGGAGATGGAGTCGGGGACGAGTGTGTGTTAGCTGCAATTTGATGATTTCTAATTGACCATTTGCTACACTCTCGCAAACAGGGATCACCCGACGCTAAGTGGACAGGGCATGGCTGTCAAGCTCTGGACCTCTCCATTTTAAAGTACATGCGGCTCAAGCAGGAGATGCAATTAAAAGTTGGTTTTTTTAGCTCTCCAAAATCCACAGTTGCAGGAGAATGCAATAAAGGAAGAGCATCATAGTCCTACATCACCGGTCGGGCATTTCACAGAAGATTATTTTGTGGGATTATGGCTTTTTAATCACATCATGAACTGGTGAGGATGCTGATTATTTGCCTTAAACACAGCATTAGTGGGAATGTTTCAGTATTTTAGCATGTAGGTGACTGTTAAATGCATATTTTATGTGCTTGTTGTAAAACTTGTGAGGCTCTAAATACAGCCTGGAACATCTTTTTAACCAACTAATGGAACAAAACACAACTTAATTACACGTCTGTGTGGATTCTCAGTCGTCGAGGTCATCCTAAGAGCTTCACTAAAAAGTGATTTGTGGTTCTTGAGGATGTTTCGAATCTCATCCAAGACACTTCTTCAGTTAACTGAAAAAGCTTCTTGGCTGAGAGGTGAAGCATCTTCAACAACCAACAAGAGTTTGCCAGCTACATTTGTCTTTCTTCCAAAATCAATGACTCATTCTTTAAAGCTGGAGTTTAGGTGGTTTGCGTCATTGGGCAAAGATTCCATCATAACCCTTCAGCATATTGTGATTCAAGTGGTCTGAGAGGAAACTTAATTTCTGCACCTCCTCTTGGCCTCGTTTTCAGGCTTTAGGAAATGTAGCCAGGAAGACTTGAGCCAATCACAGGTGTTTTCAGATAAAATCAGGCGAAACAGAGCAAAGAGCAGCACATAGACACTGAGAGAGAGAATTTTTGGACCAGTTAAGATGAGTTGTTTCAATTTGTAACATGCGATCGAATTAAGGTAAAAAGTGAAGATGTACTTAAATGATTCCTCCCAAATGAGACCTGCTGCAGCTTGATTCAACTTCTAATTTTTAAACTTAACTATTTGTTCTGCCCAAACGTACAACCCCATTAGACTTACGCTCCTTCTTCGACTTTACCTAATTCTCCTTGAAGAAGTAGCATGGGTTAAGCTGCTGCAGAAACATCTGAAGAAACATCAGACACACAATGCTAAAGAAGTAATAAACCTCATTTCTACACTTGAATACCAGTTTAAATGAGGAAAATGTGATTTCAAGTTGATAGAATCCACAAAAATAAACTGCCGTCACCAAAGCAGAAAAATCTAAGATTTATTTCAAACAGTACTTTACTTCAACTTCAATCTCCCATATCAACCTCACGTCTTCTCATATACTAATATTCATACGCCTCATTGGGACAAACGGCAGATGTGCCTGAGTGTGTTGAAATCCTATCTGTAGTGTTGCTGTATAATAATAGGTGAGTTTTAATGCAGACTTCAGGTTTCAAAGACACTAGAAACTCCATTAAAAACACAAATCATGTTTACAACTGGTTTAAACTCCAACTGTAACATCAACTTGAGTTTCTTCTTGTTAGGTTCATTAAAATAATCCTCATTAAACCGAGATGAGCATCATATTTATTCTATTATATTTCAAGAACAGGGTGTATTTGAGACACTGATGTTTTCCTGTCGTTCCTTCGGCTCACAGTTCCCGTCCCCTGCTCGTCTGTTTGGCGATTTTTTGATGAAGTTGTAATAGCTCCGATGGGCAGCAGCCGTGTTTGCACAGTCATTTTCACACAAACAGCCCAGAAGAAAAAGTTTGCCAAAATGTCAGGCTGTTCAGAAAGCAAACAACAACAACAAGCACCATCCATCGACTGACAAGCTGACAAGCGCCTATTAAGTCCAGCTGAACTGTCGCGGCGCCGAAAATAGTCGCGAACGGGTCTACGGGAGGCGATCGAGACGAACGGCGGATGACGTAAACAAAAACGCGCGGCGAAGAGCCACTTACTGAAGGGGAGGTGGCATCTGTAAAGGCCAGGTCTGCCAACATTGTTTGTGTAATTAGGCATTGAGGTTTTTTTTTTTTTTAAAGTGGCAGCAAACAGATGGACTTCAGCAGCTGCGGCCATCTATCAGCCATATTGCAAAAAAAAGAGAAAAAAATCCCGCATCACTAACAGGAATCTGCTAAAGACTCCGAGAACAAGTGTGGGCCGGTTTCCATGGTGAGCGAGGCTAATCAGCCGTTCCTCATCTCGTTGAGTGACACGAACGGCGCTCGTAAATACCCTTGAAACACGGGCTTGGAGCATTAACTGAAATAACCATCTCTCCCTTTACCTTGACCTTACACGCGAACCTAAACCATTAAACACCTCCCATGCGAGACAGAAATGAGATGATTACTATCTCGCCGTAATTTGCCTTTTCAACATAAGACAGACGTCAGAATGGGCAGCAAAAGTGTAATTGCCCTTGTCTGGCGCGCGAAGATTGTTGGTTCTCCGAAAGAAAAGAGACAGCAGGCCTCCTTCATTTGCCACACGACGGAACTCATTCTCAGAATATATGGCGAGGTAATTGAGCGATGAATTACTTTTTGCATCAGCACCACTCAATGACACTGATTCTGATGTAGTAATATATTATCTCCCCCTTTGTGGTAATTTATCCCCCACCAAAATGACATCCACTGGAAAAAAAAAAAAATAAGAGCATTCTGATTCTTTATCAGACCTGAAAACAACCCGATCGACGTTTCCGAAGAGCAACACGTTTTTCTTTCTATCTCGCGCGAGAGGTGTCGGGTTTCAGGAAGTACGCCCTGACATTGTGCTTTTTTTTTTTTCCATTATGTAAAGTCACGTCTCCGAGTTTGACTTGTGAGCGCCGCCGTTCCCTAAAGAGAAGAAATAAATGAGTTTCACATCAAGCAATGCAATCAGCCGTGGTTAAAGCCAGATCTCCAAAAATGTGATTATATCTGCCATAATTGAGTAGACACCTCTACCTAGGATTATATTGGCAGGAGAAGGAGGAGGGGGGAAAAAAAACACATTTATAGGTGTGATAATTGAAGCTGGATGGTGAAATAGATGTCTAAATGGATGACCGGCAGACATGTTGGGGAAAAAAAAAAACAGAGAGGGAATAACTGAGGAAATGTGCATCAGATGGAGGAAGAAGAAAAAAAAGGAGAGAGAAACCCGTCAACAAGAAAAAAAGAGGACAATCTTTATTTCAATCTTTCAAACCTGTAATAAAGTGTGACAATCTCAATTCAAACCCGAAGAGGAAGTTTGGCAGAGAATGGCAGGCAACTACAAAGACCAGAAGGCAAGGCGAGGGCATGGTTTCCTTTAGTGCAGTTTCACAGTAAGAATACAGATAACCTCTGTATGTTAAAAACAGCAGGTGTGCTTTATGTCGAGGTGCCTACGTCCATCAACTGACCGAGCTACAACAGCGCGATGAAAGTGGTGTATGTTGGGTGCTGTTTGGCAGAATTTGTTTGCTCTGGACCTCAGCTGTTTACCCCCGTTTCCTGTCTCTATGCTAAAGCTGCTAACAGGATCCACGTTCTCATCTTGGCAACGAACCAAATAATCGTATTTCCCCCCAAAAAAATAACCGGATAGTTTTGTACGAATTAAGAATCTACTTTCTAAACACTCAAGTTGGTGAAACATGTCTTCAGGTGCTTCAGCTTGCCTCACCGGACCCCAAAATCCAATAAGGTGCACTGTACTGTGCATTTACCATTAAAAAAAAATACAACAACAACAAAAAGAAAACAGGTTGTAACAGATCTTCGGGGAGGGGGGATCATTTGCTCTTTTTGTGGAACAGGTTGTCCTCTTTAATTAAAGCTGAAGTAGGCAAAGAAAATAATAAAAATAAACGCAACCAAAGCCTCTCGAGTGAAACATTTCCGTCTGACACGTTGCAAAACATCATCCTGTTCTCTCCGTGGACTTTGTTGCTCTTATAATGCAGCAAGGAGGTCTGGTTTCTTCTCAGACCACTTGAATTACAATAGATCGCACATACTTTTTGTTGAGTTACGCCCCAAAAACCCTGCCTACCCCAGCTTTAAAGAGGAAGCCATAACCCCTACTTGTATTGAGCTATTACATACACTTTAGTCACTGGGATAGAAAAATAGGATAGAGAAGGATTTCTAAGCCTTAAGACTAACTGACAGACTAACAGTAGGTTGTAACAAAAAGAGGGGGCCCACCTCAGTAGCGGGAACACAGTCCTAATATTCTATATTCTCAGCGTTGGTCTCACTGCGTTGGGATGTAAACTTCAACCTGCCTAGTGAATTCAATATAGAAACCAGTGATGGAGGACAGACTGAAATATGGAAACAGACAGGGCCTGCCTGAGTTGTTAAGAGCCACGGGAGCTACTGATGCATGTTATGGCTTTTCTAGACAGATACAACCCATCTATACAAGGAATCTTTTAGCAGGGGTGGTCATGTTGGGTGGAAATAGGTTGAAAAAAAAAAAAGTATGTCCGTCTGCCTTTTTATTTTTTTTTTGGTATCAGAGAGACTGACACCAATTACCAACCCAGCTCTTTTCATCATCTTTCAGCAAAAATGGACACAAACAGGTGTCTGGCAGAGAGATAAGATGAAATGCATGACCGTCTCAGCACTTTGCACCCCGAGAAGAAGAAAAAGGGGGAATATTTTCAGGCAATAACATACAATAGACAAAAAAAAAGAAAAAGCACATTTCATTTATGGCAGATTTTCCTTCTTGGGCACTTCCTTTTCATTCTACGTGCGTTAATTACATAAGCTTTGGGATAGGGGGTAGAGGTAAACAAAATGCTTCAGTGTGTTCGTTTTCTACTATGTTTTAAAGGCAAGAGTTATCTTTTTTTTTCTACGACTGCAGGATATTACAGTAAATTAGAATCAAAACAGTTGACCAAAAAAAAGACAAGGGCGTTCAAGTGGTTTCAAAACAACAACCTAACAACGTCAGAGTGAGTGTCGCACATCACATGGAATAGACCACTGGTTCAAAAATAAATAAGGTGGTATGTTTGGTTCACAGCCATCCCTTCTTCTCATGAGCACTGCGTTTACACTCCATCATTAAAAAGGCTGTTAGCTTTAATGTAATTCACTGGCTTCACCGAGCAGCCGACCTTACACACTGACACACAGAACTTAAAGGCGGAAGGAGAGGAAAAAAAAAAAAGTCTGTGCTAGAGGGGCTTTGAGGGGAAGTGAGATGAAAAACAAAGAAGCAGAACAGTAATACATTGATATGTCTTTGAGTTTCATGTCACTGCATTTGACTAGGCCTATCATCCTCTATGTGGCGGGTGCCCCTGTGTTAATCGGTTTTCTTCTCTTCGGGATCCTTCTCTCCGACATCCTCCTCCTCCTCGCCTTCGTCGGGGCCCTCCAGCTCGGCGGCGCGTTGCCTCTCCTCCTCTTCTTCCTCCTCTTCGTCAGTCAGGCCCTCCCTCTTGAGCGCGTCCATGTCATCCGAGCCATCATCCGACTCAGCTGTGCAGATGCCGTAGCACATCAGGCTAATTACGCCCAGCGGTAGGCCGAACAGGAAGCAGCCCAGCAGAGGAGAGCTGCGAAACACTGACTGATGTAGGAAAGGAGACGACAAAGGATGAAAGGGAGGGAAAAAAAAGGAAAAGGGCGACGTGTGGGGGAAGGAGGGATATGGAGACAAGTTTGGAAAAGTGGCAAAGAAAACATAGAAATGAGGGATAACAAGAAAGGACAGGAGAGATATGAAGTTAGTTTCATATTTCAGGAGTCCTCACCTTGACTAGCATCCTAAAGACCTTGATGCAAGTGTACACATCCAGGTAAAAACCCATTTATCATCTGCAAACATTAACAGTCAGTCAGAATTTCTTCCTAAATCTTGTTCTTTCTGGTCTCTGGGTGGAATCACTGTGTGGCAATTTGATTAATTGCAAATTTGCTTGTTAACAGGCCCCATTGATGAGCATTTATATTTAATGACTCGTCAAACAACAGGCTGACGTTCGCACTGTGCGCACAGAAACAAGATATCGGCTGCTCCTTGCCGGCTGAGGCCCCGTCTCATAGTCTGCCTTTGTTAAAATCCACTGCTGGTACATGTAGTATTTCATAACTACATTGCATGATCGTCCACACATTTCACCATCTTTGTTCAGTGACACAACAGTAGGTCCTGGCATCATGCTAATGGACAGCCATTTCTGATAATTAGAATAACGTATTTGGGAGTTGATCATCAGGAAAGGAAATGTATCAACTCAAGGAGGCAAAAACAATCAGCGCAAATATCCCATATAAAGTAAAACTTCTGTCAACTGTAACACGGGGACTCGTGCTGTTAACCGATAGCATCCGTCGTGATCTTTACAGAACAGCAGGTACAACACGGAGGAAGCTACCGTAGCTTATTAGCAGGTTTGCACCTTCAGCGTATATATTTAGCCTCATCTGTCGGAGCTTAACGTGCAGAACAACAGAGCCGTGGTTTGCGGATAGCTGCGCGACCTTGTTGTCCTGCTAGCAACGGAGCTACGCTAATGAGCTTGTGAGTTTGCTAACCGGCTCGTCATTAGATAGCTTTGTTTCTCCTTGTCAGTCACTGAAGTGATGATGAAAAACAGAAACACAAAGTGTGAATTACTGGAAGTTAGGTGTTGTAGTTCACTAGTCTGACTCGCTGGATGTAGACTGCAGGTATAAGCCTGACATCGGCCGAGCATTTCCACAGCTTTTCCCTTGTAATATCTACGCGTGAGCATCTTTTCTTTTTACAACAAGAAACTGCTTTTCTGTGGAATGTAGAAAGTTGTCGAATTTTGCTGTTTCCATGAACATTTTGTTGTACGCGATACCTCAAAATATGCGTAACAAATACATAAAGGAAGCATGCCACCAATCTTTTGGCAAATGTGCACGTGAAATGCAACCATCATCTAAAAATGAAGAGTTCATTTTCCAAAATAGTGGCGATGAAAAGCGAAGTAACTTCATAAAATTGATGCAGCTGTACACAGTAATGCACTAAAATAATTAGCAACAAGTTAAGCGTCTACAAAAGGGATGTCAATTGAACCACTACGTCACCCTCCAACGACTGCTTAGGACAAAACAATATGCTGTCTGTCCATCACAACAAACCATTACTGTCTATAGTGTGGGTACGATACTCCAGAGCTTCCATGTGCAGTCCGACTTGTGTAACTTGTGGTAAGAGGATGCAAACACCCATTATCAAAGACTAACAGGGAAGAAAGAGGGGTCAATATGGCCCTTCAGCTCCGTTTTCTACAAAGGTCCCCTGGTGGGTCAATCCAGCCGTGCCCTTATTCCTTCAATTCACACATAAAAACAAGAAACGCACTAATAATTTATCTCCACTTCTTTTATTCCGCTTGGAGCCTGTTCAGTGTAGTGGAGCTGTTCTGGAGTGAGTCACTGTTTAATAAAAGCATTACATCTCTCTCAACAGCCACTGTTTGCAGGAGTAAAGAGCTTCCCATTATCTGTTGGGTAAAGTGAATTCAAAAATCATGGAGCACATCAAAAAATATTTGTTGAAAAAAAAAAAATCACAGAGAGGCTTTTATGTTGTTTTAGCAGCAATACCACATTTTTATGTATTCATTTATTCATTCATTTGCATTACACCATTAAGCTTCGCGAGCGTGTTTAGAAGGCAGGTCACAAATCATTTGCAGAAACTAACGCAGGGGTTTAATATTTTAGTATTAATTACATTTGTGTCATGTAATCTTATGTCTGTATTTTGTTTCAGTGTTTATATCTTGTAGTGTGCTGTTTGTTTTACGCCGATCTTCATCTACAATCAGTCAACTTACTCGTTGTACAAGTTGAGATAAATAAAGAAGACTCAAACTTTAAATACAAGTAAAGGTCGGCCTTTGTACACAAGTCTGTCTAAAGACACTGTCGGCGCAGACACACCATCTCCCCGCTGATTATGGCTCCACCTCCCAGGACCACATGTACACACTAAAGCTGAAATTATGCTTTGTAGAAAATCAACATAAATGTCTCTGCAGACCTACACAGACGAGGGTGTCATAGGTAACCACAGGTTGCAAGTTGATTGATTGATCTAATTTCCTGTCTAGACAAAACAGGAAAGGAACAAGAAGAAGCAAAAGGAGCGACTAGCTAAATATGACATAACCCCTAGCGGGATATGTACAATGCCTATAAAAAAAAAGTGTTTACCTCCCTTCACTGTTTTCCCCTTTTATTGCTTTTCAACATGTAACCGTGGTCAATTTGATTTGGCTTTTTTGACAAAAATCTAGAAAAAAAAATCCTTTTCTCACGAGTGCTCCTGGCTATAACTACACCATGAAGACAAAACAACACCCCAAGCAACTCCATGAAAAGGTTATTGCAAAGCATAAGTCAGGGGAACATGTCTAAGTCACTGAATATCCCCGAGAGTACAGTTAAATCCAGCATTAGGAAAAGAAAGCACAATGGCACATGTGTAAATCTGCCTAGAGGAGGCCATCCTTAAAAACTGAGAGACCAGTGAGGGAGGCCACCAAGACAGCTATGACTTCTGGGATGTGGTTACAAGCTTCAGCAAGTGGTATGGGAGAGACTGTGCACACAACAACTGTTGCCTGTTCTTCACCCTCTAAAGACAGAGAAGGCCACTGTTAAAAAAAAAAACTACAGTTCAACAGAGGGCATGTGGGACACTCTGAAGTCAACTTCTTTGGTCTGATGGGATCAAAATTGAGCTTTTCGACTGTCAGACTAGACCCTATGTTTGGTGGATACCAACAAAGCACATCGTGACAAACGCGCCGTTTCCACCCTGAAGCACGGTGGTGGCAGCATCATGATGTGGGGATGCCTCTCAGCAGCATGCCCTGGAAGTCTTGTAAAGGTGGAGGGTAAAATGAATACAGCAAAGGATAGGGAGATACTGGAGGAAAACTCTATGCAGTCAGCAAGAGAACTGCTGCTTGGGAGAAGATTTGTTTTCCAGCAAGAAAATGACCCGAAGCATACAAGCCGAGCTACACAGAAATGGTTTAAAGACAACAAGGAGACTGTTATGGAGTGGCCGAGTGAGAGGCCAGACCTCAATTCAATTGAGAATTTGTGGCTGGACTTGAAAAGGGCTGTTCACTCACGATCCCTGTTCGACTTGAGAGAGCTTGAGCAGTTTTACAAAGAACAATGTGGTAAAATTGCAGCGTCCAGCTGTGCAAGGCTGATTGAGATCTCTCCACACGGACTCCAGACTGTGACTGGGGCCAAAGGTGCATCTATTCAAAACTGACTTCAAGGGGGTGAATACTTATTTTGTTCTTTATACTTGTAATTGAGATTATATAGCAATCTGTTTTCACCTTTACATGAAGGAGTCCTTCTATGTAAATCATTGTCAATGAAACCAAGTTGTAGTGACCATAATTCAATGTCAAAAAGCAATAAAAGGGAAAAACTTCCAAGTGGGGTGAACACTTTTTGTCGCTAATGTTTATTATTCTGACATTCCAGAAGTAGTACAGAAACATACGCATGCACTCTTACTATATTTTGCGTATGCAGGCATGTAGTGATTTCTAGGATAGAGATAGCACTAGATTTTTCAGACTCATTAAGGTATACTTGCCAAAAGTTCGTTTTTTTCCCCCTTTAATATTACTACCTGTTGTACAAACAGTACATGTAGCACGCTTTGTTGATAGACCTTCTGAATCCCCTAAGGATCTGCACATTATTGGTAAATGTAGGTGTCGGTGCATTCATCCCTGAGGACCAGTTGGGTGAAATCGAAATAAACGCACAAAGCCAATAATTTGCCTTGGAAGTCTGCTCCCTGGAGACCTCTCGATTCACATCCATGCTTTTCACTTGGATGCAACGTGCTCCTAATAGATTCCACACCACAATCCCTCATCCCCCGTGGTCATAACAATGGCCCGAACAACTAAAAGACAACTTTGCAAGTTCTTCTTTAAATGATCCGGTTGACGAATGAGTCATTTGGCCTTAATATAGCGAGATACATCAGAGAAAATGTGCCGAGAGGGGAGCATTCGGTCACAACTTCTGTCAGCCGCTGAGCGGACGAGAAGAAAGAAATTCATGCTCCCTCCAGTCATTGCCACGGGAAGAGGGATGGTAATTGCCAGGGCTCTGTGATGCTAGATGAGGTAAAGATGGGCATGCTATGCTAACACAGCTGGCTATGACTCATTGAGCCTAATGCGCTTGCTTCCTCATGCTCCTGTCAGACCTGCACACAGATAGGCTCTCCCGGGGGCAAGGTGATGGCTGCTGCCGATCTCCGTTGTATTATATCACGTCACCGTGAGCCAAGCTAGTCACGGTGATGCTTGAAGCTCGTTAAATTTAAAGAGTGAGTCACATTTCATTTCTCTTACAGGTGTATTGCAAGTCAAAGCCTCTCACACATTGATTCTTACTTTAGTGCAACTGCTAGCATGACCCAAATAAAAAAAATAAAATCCTGCACATTATGCTCTTGCACAGCCCCAAGAAATGTAATATTGTTTTGGCATTAAAACCTTTACCTACTTCTGACAGGGTTTATTCTTCTACTGGTTCCATTTAAAAACATGTCAAAGCTGATCTGACAGCTAAAGAACTAAACCTTCAAAAAAAAAAAAGCTTTCTAAAAGCCTTTCTTTGTGCTTTGACGTCAAATGTTAGCAGTCACCATACTTTTCGTTTCAACATTTTTTTTTTCACAATGAAAGCTATAATTTTGCCTTAGGTGTTCCTCACATATCTTTAAGAACAATGTTATGGGCCGGACTGAGGTTTGCCCACAGTTACAGTACAGCTGTGCCCACGGAGAAGCATTACAACACAGCTGTATTTACATTCCTATCACACCCTTGGTAGAATAAACACTAGTTCACCCAAAAGAACCAACTACTTTGAGTAAAAGTAGGAGGAGAAGCGAGTTCAGCCTCCTGACCCTCTCCTCCCTCTTCGCTCTACCTCCTCCTGCTGCTGCTTTTTTTCCCCTTCTCCCCCCCACACTGTGCTTACCGCCTGCATTGCATATTCTCTGTTATACACCCAGTCTCGTCCTCTAGATGTTGGTTTCTCTCACAAGAGGGAACTTTGGCATTTTGTTTAACACTGAAGCAGAACTCGGAGCAAAGTTCGCTGTAATTTGGCAAACGCAGTCAAGGTGAAACACGGTGTGAAGCATGCCGGCAAGATTATTATTATTATTCCATAAGACTGGCCGTTAGGTCTTCGGGAGTACTATAATCATGTGCGCTTTAATTGTAGAGGTGAAGAGAGAAATCTATTTCAGGAGGGCACAAAAGCGAAAGCATGTTGTTATGCTCAAATAAAATTAGCACCAAAAATAATGGCTTGGGCATAAAATATAAATACAAGGTGCAACATTTTTATGTGAACAACAAATCTAATTATTTTGTGAAAAGGGTACATTTTCGTGAACTCCCAGAAAACGATCATCCAACCCTGCAGTTTCTCTAACATCAACAAAAGCATTTTAACGTCTTTTTTTTCCAACCTAAAGCCGCAGTATGCAACGTTTCCAACACCAAACAGCAGACTGCAAACGTTAGTAACCAGCTGGTGAACATAGAAGAGCATTTAGCAACTAAACAGTACAGTTCAGGAGCTGGTGGAGACCAAAACAGAGCAAAAAGTAGCGTGAAAATTGAACTTAAACTTGACAGGTGCACGACTTAAATATAAATTCTAATGTTTCAATGAGTTTGTTGGATGTTTAAAAGCAACTGTATGCCAAATTTAGCAATTCTTTGCATTGCTAGGCTGCTCTTAAGTGGCACCACCGATCTAACAATGCAAGTAAATCGACGATGCAATGTCTAATTGAAAAAATTACAATTTGAAGTAAATATGTATAAGAAGTGTGGATTTTGAAGCTTTATTTGAGATGCACAGTTCACTAAAATAACTTCAAATCCTTTTTTGCAGTTCTTGGTGAAAGTTGTAAAAACATCCTATAGACGGACTGTTTTGTAATCATTTATTGCTCGGCGGTTAAATAAATTCAAACCCGATGTTTTGTATTCCATTTCAGCGCCGTAAGCACTTTGAACTTCAACCACATTCTCTGACAGTCGACATGTAGCAGCCCGGACTGAACTCTAACCAACTTACCATAATAGTGGACCTGGCATCAAAGGCCACGCGTTTGATCCTCTGAATGATGCCATCACCTCCATATGCCTGCAGGAAGACAGAGTTTAAAAAGGCGCTTCTGAGTCAGGTCAATCCCAGTATAATATTCATCACATATGTACATACGTATGCAGACTTTCATCCTATTTTTCCATTCGGCATCCAGAGTTTCACATAATTACTTAGAGACAGTGTCTAATTATCAATGTGTCAATAAAAACTTCTCAAACTACTCGCACAGCGCGCAGACTGAGTAATCTATGTCTCGAGCGTCCAGCCGGGCTCGGTTGCATTCCATACATTTTAAATATTGTTTAATTAACCGCTCCCCTGCACCAAATTACCTAATGTGGCCGACATTAGTTTGTTCACTGTCCAGCAGTTCTGCTCCGTCTGAGCTCATTTATTGGCAAAAGCACCTGTGCAGCCAATGAGTGATCTGTCCTGACGCTAATTCATCAGGACGGCCAATTAGCGAGCTCCGACGAGGCAGGGACGATCCGAAGGTGAGCAACGAGACGGTCTTTGCGGCGGCAGCAGCTGTTGCACAGACTAAACTTAGACCGTGGGATGATTACAGGAGTATTTTGAGAAGCCTTTACAAACATTTTTATTGCATGTTGTTGGAGTTGTTTTTTCTTAATTGCAAAGGAGGAAAGGATAGGGGACTTAAAAACTGGGTGCCACAACAAGAGTGAGAAGGGCTGTACTTTAAAAAAAATTCAATGACTCCCTTAAAACCTGTTGGGGAGAAGCCACAGACTCTGTCTTTTTGTGGCTGGTTCACGCTTCACATGAGGCAAAAAACCCACCATCTGCAGAGCTCATGCTTTTCATGGCTTCTTTGAAAAACACACACAAAAAAAAATCGCAAATTTTATTTATGCGTGAGGGAGGGAAAAAAATAAAATCAGCTCTCCACATTCCCCGAGAACAGCCTTGAAATCCAAAGCGCATTATTTGCAACCGACATTATTTTGTGTATTTCTACGTGGAGCACAAACCAGCCCCGGAGACACCTCATGGAAGACATTACTAGCATGACGTGGAGAGGCTGCAATCGTTCAGGCTTTGGCTACGACCGGACTGCAGAAACATGGCGGTTTCTGTTGCTGTTTATTTGGTGGGAGGTGGTTTGTTTTGCCAAGCAAAAAATAGCCCTTTCTTGGGAAAAAAAAAAAAAACGAAAAGGAGAGGACCTCTGGCTGTTTGGCTTATGGCTTGGTACATCTGGTGACTCGAGTGTAGTGCAGGGAAAACGATGACATTTCTTTTCCAGATTAGTGTGCGCACTACAATACTGAGTCATGTAGTAATCTCAGTGTTTGGCTTAGAAGACAGAATTATTGTAGATAATCTATTCAAAGGGGATAGCAGTATGAAATCTAAACATGCAAAAGGAGATTGCAAAAATACCTCATCTGGTGAAACTATTTTCTGTGCAGGACTTAAAATGCGAGGCAGCGCGCTTGATTAATGACGACTACTGGTGTTATTACAATGGTACAACACAGGGGGAGGGGGCTTGGAGGGGGGCTACGCTGAGCTGAATGCATAATCAGAAAGCAGGGAAGATGGAGCGGAAGAGGAGAAGATTTGGACCTGTGCAGAACCGTTCAAAACGCCGCTGATGAATTGGACCAGCTGCTCCATGGTCTCGATCGGCTCGCCGGGCAGGAAGTACTGCTCGTTGGATGTGTTGAGGATGATAACGGAGGGCACCGTCACCTCGCTGTGGAAAAACAGGAAGCACGCCTTTTTAATCTCCTTCGCCCCTCAGCATGTCGGACTGCCATTATCAAAGCGCATCATAAGATGGGTACAAATTGCAGTTTCTTAAAGAACAAATTGCAACACAGAGAATACAACAGTGAGATAAACAAACCCTTTGTACTCGGAGCAACCTAACTTTTCCCATGGGCTTTCTTTCAAAGAGAGGATTTTTTTATTTTTTTTTTTCACCAATGAAAAAGGCAATCCAGCCTGGCCTACTTCAGAGTGGCATTTCTTCTATCTTTTATGCAAACACTGTGCAACTCTGGGGCTTTATGGGTCCGTGCCGGTCACAGTTAAAGAGACCTTCACAAACTATAGCTGACAAGTGAATCGTGGGAAGTCCAGAGGAGAGCAGCTCATGCAGCCCATGTTGAGAAAACGTACACACAGAAGCCCCGGTGGTCCATTGATTTTCGATGCTTAAGCTTGAGCAGAAAACACAGACACAGAAAGACGCACTGTACTCTCTCTCTCGAGCCCTCTCATTTTCGACAAATCAGCGGAGGAATTACAAAACTCGGCGAGATAAGGAATAAGGTCATATAAACAAGCAATCCCTCATCCACACGTCTCGCACAATACCCGAGCCCCGGCTTAGATAAGGCATCCTGGCGCTTAGGCGCACACATACACGCACGGGCGCACGAACAGTCCATCACGGCGCTGCCACCTTACATCCCCGCGGTGTTACTCAACCCGGCAACAAATTGCACACACACGCACACGTATCCATCACTGTCCCAATCCGCCACCCAGCTGAGATCAGGAGTGCAAACATACACGCCCGTGCGGTAGAGTCATCAACGCCTCACTACTCTGTCCAGCTGAGATCTGCAATCACTGGAATACACACACACACACACACACACATTATGAATGCGTGTTTCCATCTGACATCCAGCCTACTCCAACAGATGGCACCCATTTAAAATAAATATGGATTAGCCTCTTCGCCCCTGTGAGTGGGACTACTGGGGGTTTGCCGCCATAATGAACTGTCATATACTCTACTGTATACACGCATTAAAAGCATTTCCTTTCCACTGCAAAAAAAAAAATAAAAATTGCCATGTAATTAGGTCTAACTGCTATTTTTTCTATTTCAAAACTTACAAGAAGTTTACTTTTCTATTATAGGAGCAGTTTGACATTGTGTACACTATTTTATTTATGCTACATTTAACATTTATTTAACCAAGTGACATTAGAAGCTTCTTGTTCGAGGGAGGCCAGGCCAGGACGGCAGCCAGGACGACACATCATCATGCATGCAAAACACTACAAACTGCTGGCAATGCATGAAGGTTCAACAGAAATCATTTGCAATCTGTCAGAATTCAAATGTGCTTTCTTGCTCGGAGTGTAAGGAGCCTATCGGTGCAAAGCGCAGAGCTGAAGCCAGGTGGTTGATAGAAGTTAGATTTAGATTTAAGGAGTGAGTCAACATTTTCAGGTTAGTGCTGTGATATTATGAGCAGCTGTTAGCATTAAAACAGCTAGCCTCACTCTAAAGGAAGCGTACCAGGACTATGAAGCTTGCTTAAAGAGCAACTGGCAGGTTGATTTTTTTGTACAATATTTTGTTTAATATTTCGTGTAATTGATTTAAAAGTTAATGCATGATTTTGTAGGGGTTATTGAGACATAAAAAGCAGAAATTCTGATGAAAAAGTCAGATTTTTGAGTATTTTTCCCCCCCAAAACAGCTCATAATTACGTCACATAACAGAATCGTCTGAGTAACCACAACTGTTTATCATGATGAGTTACTGCGTCTGTCCAGGTCGTCTGTCTGGTCATCGAGTTCACTCTTTTCCTAACAGCGGAGCTAGCTTTCTTGCCTGAGCCAGTTTTGTGCAGGTAAAGACTTCACAGCTATATCAGTGAAGCAAAACACAGCCGTGTTCAGTGCTCGTTTTAGACAGGAGGATTATATTTCCGGAGATGCAGCGGCGCTCCAGACTGGATGTCTAAATCAGGGCCGTGTGAGACTGATAGCTGTTGTGGTTCCTTTGCAACACACAGCAGCTTTAGTTCCACCATTAGCAGCAGCTTCTGGTTCTGGCGCCAGCAGGGGAAACGGTCACAGATCTGTCAGAGATTCAGGTCGACAAAAACTGTGCACCGTGAGCCTTCTTTTATGTTTGCAAACCTTGAGATTAGTCAGCTCTCTCCCACCTTTCCGTCTCTCACATAGAAAACACAGTGTTGGTTTATGTTGTACAGGCTGATCCTTGCGCACTAGTATTAATACTCCAGTATTAAACCGGCAGCACTGGCTGTGTTTTATCCTGACATGTGATAGCAAACTTCAGTAAAGTAGCAACGTTCATTACCTGATGTCAGCCATTCACCAAGACATATTCCCTTTCCCCCACTGGTTCTCTTCACACCACAAATTAATTTCTCTCTAAAGGCTGATATTCTCCTCATCCTTGTCTGTTCCTTGTCTCTGTGACACCCAGCGAGCTCTTCATTATAAAGCTGGAGTCCATCACATAGGTGTGGATGTACATTTCAAACCTCTTCAGTGTAGAACCTTCAGTTAAGTTCCACATATGTTACTAATAAACTGGACCTAGCTTGGCTGTATTCCCTTTTGTGATGTAACGATCCAGTTGGGGTTTTGAGGCGAGTATAAAACTCTTAAACTACTACTAGTGCAAACATTTTTTTTTTCAAAAATCTAGCATCTGCTTCATTTCCCAGCACATGAATTTACTGCATTCACCAACCTGCAAGTTGCTCTATAATTAATCTGAGTACTAAATTTCTACTCCTTTGTTTACACAAACAAAGTAAAAAATTTAATTCTGGGGCTTAGGGGGGAAGAGCTTGCTGTAACAATGTCTTGGCAAATATGTTATGCTAAGCTGCTGTAAGTTAAGTGTGTGGCTTCAGTGCCACACACAGATGTGTGCTGGTGATTAAAAAGAAATGATGGTTAAAGATTAAAAAAGAAAAATCCCAAAATCCAAGTGAAAACTGGACTTTAAAGACACAATTTGCATTGCAAATAATGTGTACTTTACTCATTTCAGAGCCTCTTCTTCCTGTTTTACTTATTTCTAGGACTCTTCATCAGCAGTTCATTTTCCCCAAGTTTTTTTTTTTTTTCACTGTCTGTTACTAGAAGCATTTTTTAAGCTTAAACTACAGCAAGACTTGTAAACTGCAAACTATGTGTCCAGAAAACACATTTTGGATGGATGGGGGCATAAAACCTGGATGAAAATCGATTTAAATTGATCCGTCTTGCTTGTCGAAAAACAACATCAACAAAAACTCCTCAGGAGGTCCGGTGGGACAAATCTTTACCCGACCGGTGAACTGACCACTGGTTCACATAGTTATAACGACGTTTCTATTCATTCATAGTCCAGATTTACAAGTGTTCACTTCACACACGGACTTTTCAGTCAACTCACATCGCTTTAAGTTTTTCACAGCCCACAATGCATCCCATAGAAGGGGTTTTTCCCAAATCCTCCATTTAAACAGAGGCGAAGACAACCTCAGACTTGGAGTGGTGCTCATCTCGTATCCGCATGTATCCGTGAGTGTGTTTATGTGCCTCTGGTTAAAGCAGGGGCAGCCTTACGCCAGACAGACTGCTGCCAGAACACAGTAATCGCTGTGATGACAGAAAGAGGGATAAAAAGCCATCAGATTTATTTCCATGGCCCTCCTAAGGGAAAGGATTAGTGGACATTGACAGGCCAGGATTTCATTCCTCAAAGGAGGGCAATTAATCCTGCGCTACAGCAGCCAAATTCAGTCCCCTAAAACCCAGCGAAATACATATTGTATGTACTCATACAAAATTAGGACGGCTAATCACCTCTTTTATCCTTAAATATAAACAGTGCCTGTCTAATTTCAGCCGTGTACCGGGAGTCTGCTGGTTGAATGTAGCCATATTAAAAATACAACTTCTACTGTACTCGCTGACACACTGACTTAATTACACAGGACTTAGGAGACCATGTCTGCTATAATCTCTCGCATGCAAACAATAACATGCTCAAATTAAAATAACATCCGGCAGCGGCCTATTACGCTCGCCGACTCTCACGCGAACACGCGCGCACAATTATACAAACACACGTAATTAGATACTATACATTAGTGGACACAAAACAGACAACTGCTACGGCTCTGCTGGCCTGTAACACTAGTGGGCTTCTGTCTAATTAAAAGCAGGGGGATGTCAGTTGCAGGGGCCTCTCCGTGCATGACACCCTAACAGTCAGCTTCAGACTGGGCATAAAGCTACTGCGGCAGGGTCTTACTGCATCATTAGCGCTGTTCTTTGGCAAGCTATTAAAGCACACGACCACTATAGATTTAATCCATGCATAGCCTCATCCGTAAATTCCTCATATATTCCTCTTGCTAGCCTGCCCAGATTTGCGGGAACTTACGGTGTTTTTGTCGTGTTTTTCTTCCCCGTGCATGCGCCTGATGTCTGGGAGGTTAAAGTTGCCAAGAGCAGTAAAAAAAAAAAAGAAACGGCAGTCTGTCTGTGTAATTGACTTCTCCACAAGAGAGCATCTTTAATGGCAGAGGCTGGCATTACAAGTCAGAGCGGACCTGGATAAGTAGCTGACAGAAGGTAACATGAGGCTGAGAAACAGGAGGATGACACGAGAAGAGAGAGTCAGGCTTGATATGAGACACTCACCCCATAATGAGGCTGTTAATGTAGTCGTTCCCATCCATGTGGCCAAACTGGAAGTCTCTGGAGATGAAAGACAAATCAGAGGTATGAAAGAGCGAAACAGTGCATCCAAAAAAAAAGGAAAAAAACGGAACAAAATGGACTCGTTTTTTTCCTCCCTCCCGTCTCAGTGGACTGTAAAACACAAGCACAAACTTCAATGCACAATAGCACATAAATAAGGAACCTGATTGAATGGAATCACATGTTCTCGCTGTGGAAAACTGGAGATCCCTTTTGTCACTGTAGGAAAGAAAAAAATATCCCCAAAGCTCCATCCTGCGCCGTCTCCTGTTTCCCCTCATCTTTTCCGCCACAGAAAAGACTCAGGTGATTTATCTAAACGATAAGGCAGGAGGAGGAATTCAATTTGTATCTCATTGTGCTGCACTATGTCTGAGCAGAGTATATTGTGGGTAGACTAGGAAAAGGGGGGGGGTTGCACAAGTCCAGGAAAGCCAGAGACTTCCACTGAATGACTGATTATGTGGGTCTCTACATATATATTATATTCATACTGAATCATAGCCACATCTAGGACGTCCGTCCCGTGGGTGCTACACAATGCCGCCTGTGCTTATATGAATGACATGATCATGGAGAGACCGAACTATATAATAAATCCAAGGGTTGCAATATAAAATCAGCCCGGGTTAGTGATAATCTTGCTGACAATAGTGGGTCAGGCTGGGAATAAAGCTCATCAAAAAGTCAGCTTGTAACTTCTGCGCCGAAAACTGCAGCGCTACGAGATACGGATCAGAAATTGTTGGGAAATTATCCACATCTTTGAGATTGGCAGCGGGACCGTAGGGATACGAGATTGAGGCTCACTCGCAAAAATGTGATGTGGAAATTAAATTCCATTCCAGTTTTACTTTGTTATGAATACTTTGCTCGCTCAATAACTTAAATATTTACAGGCCAGTTCACCATGTATGTCTGTCTTCACGCTGACACTTCTTGGCCAGACCGCCGAGCAGGCTGGCCAAAATAAAATAAAAAAAAATGGGGAGGGAGGGAGGGTGAGTAACTTCCTGAGAAACTCGCAAGAAACTCGCGAAAGAATGTGCAACAAATTGTTCTGATAAATGATGATGTAGTTTCGCAATGCGAGTTTGGGTGTTTACGAGCATATTCCCTCTGGAAGTCTATGTAACTTTAGATTTTTATAACTGTACGTAGATATTTATTGGCTTTACTTGTCATGTTTTATGTTTCTCGTGGGTAAGAAAGTGTTTTTTAAAGCCACAGTCTGACAATTTACGTAATACACCAAGAAATAATGGTGTTTTTCACCATTATAACCAAATTACAGAAGGTGTTTTATAACAGACAATAACCAGCAGGCTTCCTCAGAATTTCCCAGAGATGCTTATAAATACAAGGTGTTTTGTGGTCAGGAATGGAATTATGGGCCAACCTGTGGGGCATGACAAAAACTATGCTGGGGCTGTGAGTAATACCAGGCCGAGGGGTGAGAAATCCCACATGGATTCATCCTGTACATGTCTAAATCGCTTATTCATAAGCACATTAAATATTAAAATCGCCAACCTTAAAGCCACAATTTAAAGAATCTGAGATTATAGCGTGGCATATATATTTGCTGGAAAGATCGCTGCAGCATACGTGTTGGTTTTTAGTGTGGCGGTTTTTCATTCAGATCAGGGCGTAGGAGGTGGGATGCTTTCTCGCGTGACTGTCGACCTCAGCGTCTTTTTCACTACCACTGGGAGGCACAAAAGTTTCCAGTTTGAAATTCCACAACAGCTTTAGGATGTTCCTATACTCGTATTAAATAAAATGAATAACATTACTAAATAGTCGCACGCATATTTTACACAGCGGGCAGGCACAAAGCAGCATTTGCATTTAGCGTTTGCGGTCGTTTTTCCTTCCACCCTGTGAATGCAAATACAAAACTCGCTCTCGCTGTAGCAGCTCCGACGTGGTGCAACTCCTGAGGAAAACATCCGGTTCTTCCGCTGCTAAATGCTTCGCTGTATTCCACTTGCCTGGCAGCAAATGGGAAGTTAGCAACTAGCAAAGAGAAAACAGTAGAGCATTCAGTGGAAGACCCTCGTAAAACAGCTGGATGAGAGCAGCGAGAGTGAACCAGGATAGTGAAAATCTATGGGCCATAAAGCCAAAAACAATGAGCCAAAAAATGCAAAAAAAACCAAAACAACGGTCCATGGAGCTGAGATACACTTTCGAGTTACGTGTTTTCACATTACACTAAGTCATTAGCGTTCTCCTGGCTCACAATGGGCCTTCAGGGGGTGACTAAGCAAGTAAACATGATCAGTCCATGTACAGTGAAGACAATGAGTCTATGTGGCCTCATGTGACTTGTTGATTCTGAGCATTTAGTAAACAAAGTTGAAACCTCAACTCAAAGAACTACTTCTTCTCTTAAGGTCTTATCATTTTAGCACTGGTGGTTTTCCTTAGGCGCTCTTTAGGTGGAGGGTGTCACATTCCTCCATCCAAGAAAAACCCTACTGTAAAACCATGAACTAGCGCAACCCTTCAGCATCCTTAAATGTTGTAAATGTTGCCCAAAAGGTTAACTGCGTTTAAACAGGAAACCCACAGAGTCCAAAACCATCTTTGGCCAGAAGCCACGGGTCAAAAGTCGCAGTTTATGGCAGGGCTTTGTGACGAGGCTTCTTGTGGAGTCTTCAGCGCAGCGGCGACTGGCACATAAAAGCCGCAACAATAATGACTGGTGCAGGGTTTCAACCCCACGTACACGCCCGGCAGTTGACGAAATCACACATTCCCACAAGTGCAATTTGTAGGAATGTATGCCCCCCTCCTCCTCCTCCTCCCCATACATACTCACCCACAAATGCTAGAAATGGTGGGAGACCTGAATACCGTGACATTTATGAGCGCGTCGAACGGCATCGGCTCATTCAAATGTCATTCATCACCTATGATCTGTTGACTGCCTCCGCCCAACACCGGGGGCAACACTCGAGCTGGCGACTTGTAATTACAAGTACCGTTTAGGTGTGTCAGAACACTGCAGGCAGCTCTGATCTCAGCGGGGATCTCAAACTCAGTAGTCTTCAAAAACAGCACTGGGGTAGTGTGGCAGACAGTAGTATAATTGATGATAGGGATCTGTGTAATTCAATCAGCCCTAATGGGAATGCCTGGAGAGGGAGAAAAGCTTTGATCAGGGCTGTTTGAGATACGCCTCTTCATTTAAAAGCAGAAATCTATCTGATGAAGCAACATGGTCAATGACGGAGGAAAGGGGGGCGATGGAAGTCGAGCGACGACACAGTGATGCAAATGTGATGGATTTGCTTTTATTTATCCTTGTAGAAATCCTCCTGTCGCCTGCCGCCATGCTGGGGGGGGGGGCGATTAGAGATGAGGGTGAGCAACGGAGCAGCGACCTTAAAGCTGATTTTAAGTCAAGCCTCTTCAGTGGAGCACATGTTTGCTTTAACCCGGATCCTCTAGCTGAAGGATGACCTGTCGACTGCACTCGCTAAATCATCCTGATGTGCACAAACAGCAGGTGATTGCACAGGCCTCGTGTTAAACATGTGGGCATGTTCCACCATTTTTATTTTTTATTTAATCTAAAGACAAAAATAAATTCTCTTTTTTCGTATTTTCCCTGTTACGCCGGTTCCTCTCCAGTAAGAAAACATGTCGAACAGCACAGTACGCAACATAAACACCCTGACTGCAGTTGTTATTGCACAATTGGAGCCGGAGAAAACAGAAAATTATGCATTAATACACGCCGAGTTGAGTTTCTGACTGACAGCTGAAAAGAACACCTATATTTGGAAGCTGACATTTTGCATAATTACCTTTTCTACTGAACCTCAACAAAAAAACAGACGTGCCCTGACAAAGGCATAAACTTGTGAACAGACAGGCAGCGTTCCCCGGCGAGCGCGCCATCCTAGAATAAATGTATAAATTGGATTTTCATCTTTGACCTCATCACGTATCCGTGCCTTACCTGTTAAAATGTTCTCTGTATTCCTTCGCCACCCTCTGAATCAAGGCCTTTAATCTAAAAGCAAATGAGAAGAGAGCGAAACACCACATGAGATGGAGCGTAGCCTTTTTTTTTTTTTAGCCAACCGTTTGCAATTTGTGGGAAAGATCCAAACAATAACAGCAAGTCTTATCTTTATTTGAAAACCGTGCACTTAAGCACAACTATTGTGGTAAGTGTGGGAGTAATTTATGAAGAGCCATGCTTTTTAATCCGAGCCTTCTTTGTACCTGCCGCTCTCCTCTGTGGGGTCCTTCTCATCGATGACTGCAATCGCCACCAGTTTGCCTGAGGTGGCAGACAAGCGTTACAAATCACAATCAGACACACAAAAAGAGGGGGGGATGAGAAGACAATGGCAGGCAGGTAAAAGGCTCTGGTGGAGATGCATCACCTTTCAACAGAGGGGGGGGAATAAAGAAAAGGAGGAGGCACGGAGAGCGCTTTTTACTCATTCATCACTCAAACATTAAGCTAGCTTCGGCTTTCTGCTTTGTTGAACAGGAAACAAGTGGTCACTTTCTGGTAGAAGAGCTATTTCAGTGCCATTCAAAACCCAAACCCACAACATGACAAATAGGTCTACTTAAAAAAACTGTTACACAACTTAAAAGGGCTGTTATTCAGACTTGCATGGTTTGAGGCTACAAAACCCTTGTTGCTCGGATGAGAGTGCCAGGCTGCCCCCTGCTGGTCTCTAATTACCAGTTACGTAAAGACAGTGGACGGACTGGCATCAGGAGAAGGAATAACATCTTACATGCACACATTTCTATGGGGTTCAAGGCAGCTGTATTCAGCTTAACATATACCTAAAATAACTTTGATTGCACTATTGTTGTGGCTGTTAGAGAGAAAGAAAAAAAAAAGCCCATGCAGTGAGAAATGTATGGTTTTGTTGTTGTTCTGTTTCGTGGGAATTCAACCTGTTGAAATGTGCATAATTAACTCTGTGCATTTCTTTGAACACCTAACAAGGCACACAGAACCTCCCGCTCAGCACAGCAGCATCCTTCACCGGTGTATTGTGAGGAGGAGTTGGGGGGATTTATAGCGCTACGGGATTATTTAGAATAATGAAATCTCTTGTTTTCAATGTTTCCGAGTCAAGAAAATGCCACAATTTGCAGTTAAAGCAGCAGCACTTGTCTGGAAAGCCATCATTTATGAGGGAGTTTGAGTTGTAACTATGTCTTTAATAACTTACTGAAGCGCTACAGATCCCTTATAAGCCATTTCTAAGCTCAACATGTGGGTTTACTGAGTATTAAAATCTCTTTGGCTGGTTCTAAATGCTCTCAGCGTGGTAATAATGTAGTTGTTAAATGCTGATAGATTATTATTAATATTCATGGGGTTTCAGTAAAACTGACAGCTGCAAATGTTGTCATTAGGAAAGTATGCCAGGCTTTTGACTTTCTATAACAGTGGAAGCAAAAGTTAGTTATTTAATTCATTTATTTTGTCGTTTATTGCTTGCTATGTGTAACTACCCATTTCTTATTTTGTCTTGTGCAGTTTTTTGTGCATCAGTCTCGAAACCCATCACTTGTGAAGCCCTTTGAATTGCATTTGATTTGCTTGAAAAGTGTTATAAGTTTGACTAAGGATGAATTGATTGAATTCCAAATGCAAGTGCAACCATTAAAGTCTTAACGTAATTATTAAGGCTGCAGATGCAAAAGAAAATAAGGTGTTTAATAGATTTTGTTCCAGGTGATGTAAAGCTTCGGTTCAGAGGTCACACAATACATTAGAGGAGGATTTTTTTACAACCTTAAAGCAGTCCTTGTTGATTGTTTGCACATCCTCTCTTAAGTGCAGGACGTATTAAATAGCATTAAAGTCATTAGCAACAATTTAGAAACCTCATATACCAACAGAATCAGAGATTTTCTTGCAGCACCACGCCACCCGCATGACCGCTGAACCCTATTTTCACAGTTAATTCCGCGTTTTGTTTCAAGCATCTCTTTATTACGACCGGGTGGACTTCCTCGAGTGCATCTCGGCAAAATCTCATTAGGAGCCTGCTACCCTCTGGCATCGAGTCTCCCTCTGCAAATTTAGGTGTTACTTCTGACCCACACATGAACTGGAACAACACTGACGCACCAGTCTGGTGTTGTTTTTCTGCGGCTTCGTCCTCCGAACTGAGAGAATAATTCGAGCTGTTCCGTCATTACAAGTCGCTAACTGTGTCACTCAGGTTAAGAAGTTTCGGATCCTCTTCTTTTAAACAACGCCCAGGCAATAATCACAATCGCATCGAGGGCAAGGGAGTGAAGATCTGCTTCACATCTTAATGCATCAGAAAGCATTTCTGATTCACTTACTGCTCATATGTCTTATGCCCGTAAGGCTCAAGGCCTTCAAATTTCAAGATTTTCTGGTAAAAGCATAAAGAAAGACCTATTAGCTCTTTTGAAGTGCTGTGCAGCGATGTTATTGGATTTATAAGCCTTATATCATATTTCTTGAAATCTGTTGAAGTATATTCGTAGACGAGGCCAGCACCTTTTCGTATTCATGTGTTTGAGGGACTTATGTTGTTTGGGTTTTGCTTGATGACGAGGTCAGTGTCTGAATCCAGTAACGACCTGCAGCTGGTTTGATGCTTACGGGTGATTTTATAAGAAAACAGCAAACCGGTTTTGTTTTCAGTTTGCTACCGATCCACGTCTGCATCTGAGTTTCTGTCCCTTAATTTTTTTTGCTCATAAACAAATCTAAATATAGTTTCAGACTACTCATTGATTTTGGCCGCAGCGGGATTTAGACGTGGGCACCAAGTTTTGTGTCAGTATGACTTATGATGTGTGGGATGGGGGGATTTTGGAACATAAATTCCACCAGCTGCACTGAACCCGAGTTCATGGAATCTGATACTTGGTAGAAAAGCCTTCAGAGGCGAGCCTGGGAAATTCTATACCGTTTTCACATATGCACATCAGTCTATGTAGTCTTTAATTAGTCACGCAGTGTTTATCTAATTACGATGCTATGGAGACCATTTCACATCCAGAACTGCTAATGCAATAAGCGGTAAGACTTGAAACTCAAGAACTAAAACTGTAACAAATGTGAGCAACAATCCAACCGTCGGGCGTCACTGATGTCAGTAAAATGCACAAAAAGGAGGAAAATGCTGTATCTAATATTAGAAAGCAGCTTTCTCTCCACAGAGCATCAATTTACTGCTGTTTAAGAGGCAGTTTGTATTTCACTCTTCGAGCCAGTAGAGCAACATGGGCTGTATATCTGCAGGGAGGGGATCGTCTATTCTATCACGGCCCCGATGCATATTGAAGGCTGATCTTTTTACAAGAAAGCTCCTGACAAAAGCAGCTCCATAGTATTTGATTCTTAATTAAAAAGTTGCCACGTCGTAGAAAGGGACATTCAGGGGGTGGGGATGCTAAACATTAGGGATTTTATAATATAATAAAATTAGGCAGGCGGGCTGAGTGGAGCTATGTGTAAAGTGCTGATGCACATCAAATAATATATGCTTGCAGTCAGTGTGTAATTTAAAAATATGTGCCAGTGGCTTTGGTTTCGTGGTCATAAAGAGTATAAAGGACACAAAAACGGCAATACAAATCCCACACAAATTATAGCCATCTAAAATCAGTCAATCAACAGAAATTTAATTGAATCTATTCTGTCCAAGTTTTCAAAAAGTGAGAATTGGCTGCATTTCTTTGTTTTATGTGATAGTAAACTGAATATTTTAAGGTTTTGGACTGTTGGTAGGGTACGCTTGTCACTATAAAACCATGCTAGACGGCTTCAGTGTTCACAAACACTAAATCTACTATTTAAAAAATAACCCCAGATTAATTTAAAGATGAACAATAATTGACTACAACGATATGTTTAAGTAGTTATGGAAGCGGGAAGTCATGACACATTCTAAAGAATAGCATTAAAAAAAAATCGAACTTGTGGAAAGAAAAACGCAATCCGTGGTGAAGATCTTTTAGACGAAAACTGCATCCGTCACCTGTTTCTCCAAGCTCATACAACGTAAAGCCGTCGATCTGAAGGTATCCTTGGAAGCGCTCCTTGTTCACCCACGATGACAGGCTGCCGTCCTCGTACTCTGCAACAGAGACGGAGAATCATCAGAGGCAGAAGCACAGAGCAGCTTATCGACATTCAGCGCACAGCCTGTCTATATTAAAAGCAAAGCAGAACAGTGTATTGATGCCTGGATTGTAAGAAGATCACAGTGTTTACCACCTGTATGCTCCCCGGGGAATCAGGAGGGGGGGGACACAAAGCCGAGCATTCATGGACTCAGGTCAGCTAAACAATGATCAGAAATTGTTGTGACAGCGGGTCGCCTCTGCCTTAAGCAGTTCAGGGCGGCTGTTTGGGTCTTGAACAGCACAATGGCCGGTGACTCAGAGCAAGCAGATTGGGAATCAATGCAGATGTAAACAATCAAAAGTAACAGGCTGTCGCCACGTAAATAAAAGAACATTTTGTTCAGGCTGGACTGTCCATAATCACATTTCAGGAATAAATTTGCTATTTATCAAACAGCTGGTTGTCAGAAACATTAAAAACCTGTCGTTCTCATTTACCATATTGATGTTTTGTTTTTCCGGGACGATGGCTCACCTGACCTCATTTTCGCAGCTATTATGCATTTCTGTCTTAAAAATCACATTTGCTTTGTAAATTCTCCAACCATACATGCATACAGGACAGAGTTTTAGCAGATTTTTTACACATTTGGAGCGAATGCATAATGCAACAGATGCGTCAGGAAAAGGAGAAAAAAAAGAATCACAAAGTGCAATAAATAAATAAAATATCAAGTAAAATAAAGGATCGCTTCCTGAATGTGAACCACATGTTGTTTCTCCCTTAACATCTGGAGGCAACATGCAAACGGGAGCCCGTCTGTCCCCGGAGGGTATAAATAGGGTGTAGCGAGGCTGCTTGAACAACGCTGTTTTCTCCAGCCCAGAGAGGCTACAGGATGCTTATAATTGATGTCAAATGTAGCTGGGACCTCATTATGACATGTTAATAAGTTATCGCGACCTTTCTGCTACCATTACAGTAATTACAAGAACACTGATGACTTTTAACATGATTTTTATGCTGCAGGGACCCAAAGGAGCTGGGAGCACAATACCGAACATGACAACCTAAAACCTGGAACACGCTTTTTAAAACCCCAAGGTCGTAGCTGACAGTGGTATTAGAATCTATTTCACTGCGCTGCTTCTGCTGCTGCTGTGCAAAGGCAGAGGAGGCTTGTTGTTAAGGCTGCTGACTCAGTCGATCTGGTAGACATTCCAGCGCGTTCTTTCCACAGATGTTTCGGCTTTATAGACAGCACGCAGCTGCCCAAAGAGCTGGAGGCCACATACTGGGATTGTACAGCCTGATGAACCTCCACGCCGACTGAACCTGCATCACCTTGAAACAAATTAGAGCTGCTCTCTTCCTGGGCGCCGGCTTTATAATCTCCATACTGCCCTACAGGAGCCTGTCAGCCCAGAGTTCACACAGTGGGAGACAAGGGAGAAAGATGAGGGGCAGGAGGGGGAATACAAACAGACAGTGGGTGGAGTGAGGATGATCCAGCGTCGGGAGTTGAGAGCAGGAGGAGGAGGCAGCTCTGACACATTTCCAGGATGAAGGTTAATGGCACAGAAGACCTCCAAGACAATGCAAATAGCGTCGAAACAGCAGCCGAGAGAGTGAAATAGGGGAGGAAGGTAGCATCATCAAAGATAACTCAAGCAGGGTGAGACACAGGAGGTGGCAGAGGATGAAAAGATTCATGTATTTAAACATGACAGATAGCTCAGTATAATGGCGAGACAGCTTCTCTTGCTTTCTCACTATATAGAGAGAACCTTCCAAGATTAACAATGAAGATGCTTTGGCGAGATGCCAAAAGCAAAACAAAACACAACCAAAAAGAAGAGCTACGGTGGGGGGTGGAGGCCACTGGAGGATACTGTATGTGTTGCTCAGTTATAGAATTTGATGCCTGATAAGGAAGAAAGCAGGCTGATGAGGAATTTTATTTGGTATAAAGAAATGATTGATCAGGAGGCATTTTCACAGTTCATTTTACTACTAAAGGTTCGGAGAGGCATTTTACTCATAGTGAGCATCAGTTGGTTCATTACTTAAATACAGACTGAGATATTTCAGCATCTATTGGATTTATTGCCATGAGTTTTCAACAGGGCTGCAAGGTGGGGCAGTTGGTTAGCACTGTTGCCTCGCAGCACTGTCACCGGTTCGCGTCCTGGTGGGGGCACTGGGATCTTTTTGTGTGGAGTTTTCATGTTCTCCCCGTGCAGCGTGGGTTCTCTCCTGGTTCTCCGGCTTCCTTAATTGGTGATTCTAAATTGTCCGTCGGTGTGAATGTGAGTGTGCTTGGTTGTCTGCCTCTAAGTGTAGCCCTGTGATAGACTGGTGACCTGTCCAGGGTGTCTCCTGCCTTCACCCTGAGTCAGCTGGGATAGACTCCAGCCCCCCATGACCCTAATGAGAATTAAGCGGTGTATAGATGATGGATGGATGGAGTTTTCAACATTCATGGTCTTCAATGGATGATTCCCACGGACTTTGGTGATTACCTGACTTTTCCTCTAGTGCCTCAATGAGGCTGTCATTTGTAGATGGCTGTTTTTATATGTAAATCCACCCATTGCATAGAGAAATCTGATTAGAGAAACCCCATTGTTCCAACAAGCTTAAAGGTAGAACGTGTAACTTCTGATGAGTTGAGAAATTGATGCTAGCTGTGTCTCGGTGTAATTGTGGTGCAAACTTTTAAAATGTTGTAAAAGTGTCGTAAATGTTTTTGAAGGGTTAGTTAGTCCCTAATTTTTTCCGGGGCCGATCTCGACCTAAGTAGTATAGGCATTAACATGTACCTGATTATTTGTGTACATCTGTAATGCAGAAACCTGAAAACAGCCATCAGTTGTTCCGGATGTAGGAACGCTGCTTTAGTTTATCCCAACTGAGGTTAACATTCGTTCACTGGCCTGTAAGCCTCGGTAGTCTTTGTCACAGCGCTCCTTTAAGCACGGACATCCCCACTCCTCTGGTCACTACTGCATTAAACAGCAAGAAGCTCCACCCAGTGGATCAACCAGGTACTAAAGCTAATCTACAATACTTTGTTTATCTCGAAAACAGCATCTGGTACCAGCAGATACAAAACATTAAATGGCCAGATCGGAGGCAAAAAAAATCAAACTTGATATCTCTAAAGGAAAAGCGAATTAGGCTTGCTTCCATTAACTGCTTTGGAGCGAATAAACCCGACTGGGTAGTGTCATTAGAAAGTGGTGGCATAAGCTATGTTACGCAGAAATGTAATTAACAAGAAGCTGTAAAGATGCATTCAGGAATTGTTCTCAATCGGGAAAGTAGTAATTATTCTTTCATGCTGACTGGAGGCGACGACAACAAAAGAAGTGCAAATAGCAGATCAGTCATGTGAGTTAAATGTTCGTTACATCAGAATTTATCTGAAGAAGGCATGTCTATGACCCATTTAAAAAAGACAGAAACCACACGTAAAAAAACAGTTTACACTTTTCTGCCAGTTTCATTAAGTTTTTGTAATGCAGGACTGGAAATATGATGGTAACAACTGCAGGAGGTGGTAAATATGGTGCAATACCAGCAAAAGTGGAGCCCAGTCAAAGTGAGTGAGCCAGCTTCGTAATGTCTGTTGAAGATCTAAAGTGTGCCAACATTAGATAATATTTAGCAAAAGATATTGATCACACAAGTGAGGTTGAAATGGAAAAACCACTGAATGTATTCAATTTCAATTTACTTATACATTAAATGTAAGGTGGCATACGATCAACAATTACAACCCGTGTTACGGTTTTCAAATCAAAGTCGCAATTTGAAACAATCAGCAAACCACAAGGGCGGCAATTTAGAGCCTCCAAAGTGTGGCTGTTAAATCATGAGGCTAATGCTGTGTTCAATTTTATTTAATTCAAGCAGATTGAAACTTTCATGGGTTGTTTATGCTCTCTCACTGATCAGTGGATACTAAGTGGTTCCGGCGTTCACCGTATAGTTTGACTGACATAAGCCAAGTGTCAATATTTCATAGCTGCAGCTCGTACATTTTGCAGCACGTCTGATCCAGAGTTTAAACTGTCATGTCAACGCTTTTACAAATTCATGCCGTCCTGCTTATGTAATGCTCCTCCACGTTTTAAATCTTTTACACAGCGAATATTGAACTCAAGCTTGACTTTAGAAAAGCATATCACAAATCAAATCACAATATCTTTCAGGAAAAATTGCAATTTTCCCCAAAGCATTCAGCCTGAACTAGTTGGTCAACCAGTTGCCTGAAGGCCAGAGTTCAATTCCTAGCTGCAAAACCCTTGTTGCATGGCATGCCCACCTCTCTGCCCTTCCTGTGCTTGTTAACCCTGAAAAAAATAACAAGCTGCTATTGAGCTTTTCATCAGCACGTCATTTACTTTGACCTTGCCGTCGCTGCTTATTCAAATAACCAGTGGAGTGAATACTGTCCATGTGTGCCGTGACAACATGTCATCATTGTGTTATCATCTGTTTAAGTGTGACCTCACCTTGTCAGCACATTCATGAACTGTTAATCAGACTGTCATTTAAATTCTCTGAATTCAAAGAGGCTGCTGCCTCACCGCTGGCAGCTTTACCAATGTTTCCATAGAAGGAGCATCAAGGCCAAACCAACAGCCACTGAAGCAGAGTAACAGAGAGCCTTATGTGGAGCTCTAAGTAGTGCGTTTCAAGAAAACATGTTTAAAGACTACTATGCTGGCAACTGAAGCAGTTAGAAATAGCATACTGTGTACACTAACATACATCCTAATTATGTTCGTCTGTTTTCCTGCAGCACTAACGTGTCGGCCAGAAGCTTTCGCTGCAAACACACAATGATCAAAACCACTTGGCGCTTGAAGCACAACAACAGTGCAGACCTGTACGGGAGTATGAAACCGAGGATTTGAGCAATTAAATATGCATGAGCCTCTGTGCTGTACTATATTTTAACAGCGCTCTTCAAAAGGAATGCCGCTGTTTGTGATGTGCACTAAAAGCAATCAAAGCTAAACACCAATATGTCAAATATCATTTTACACAAAGGGAGAGGTTGTGTTTGGACAGTGTGGCTTTGCTCGGTGAGACCCATTCTTTTAAAAAACACAAGACCTGCACAGCGAGAGCGGCGAGTGTGCGCTGAATTTCTAATAAGTATTTTGAATCTGCATCTTCACAAAATACATACAAGAACAAATACCAGGGGGGGAAATGATAAAAGTTGTTTGCATATTCTGGCAACTGCCAACCTCTAAAGCGAGGAGGTAAAAACAATGCAGCTCATGAAAATATAATAAGTACGTTATACAGTATAATATCTACCCACTTGGGTTAACGTCATAGTCTGCCATAAAACAGTGTCACTGGGTGCCTATGCAAATGTGTCTGGCAAGTTTAGCCAAATAACGCAGGATAAAAAGCTCCTGACTGAGCGTCATGCAAAGTGAGCTTAACTGAAACTGCATAGGGTGCATTAGACGTTTTTATTCCTGTTTCCAGCAGCCAGTCGGTGGATTTTCAGGGACAGCAGTCTTCTGATAAACACCACAGCACAGTTGGACAGAAACCAGATGCTGAGGACCACAGGTGGTGGGGAAAAAAAGGAGAAGGCAAACTATTTTCCTGATGAAATGTCTTTCTGGCTGTCATTGTAGGTAAATGCTTAATGCTTAATGAGCTACAGTCTAGTTTTGAGCTACCATACCGGATAATAAAAATATTCTTCTTCTACAGTTTCTGGAGGACTGAGAGGAAGGACGCATCTGTGTCATTTTGCCATGCTGCTCCCCTTCTCAGTGCCTGTCATCTTTAATACACCGTCACCATGGCAATGCCAGACATTCACCAAATCCTCCGTATCAGGGTCCTGGAGGACTCTGCGGAGAGTGGAGTTTTTGTCATCAACGTCCACTGTGGCGAGCCTCTCCTGCTGCGGTTCTGGTGCAGGAAGCCCGCCTTCCGTAACGATCAGGTGGAGCAGATAGATATGAACTCGCAGGCGGTGGCGCACATGGATTTTGTTCTCCGGGTGAAGCACCGAGCACCTAACCTCTCCAACAGCCACTACTGGTGCCCCTTCGTGTTGGCTCTGTGCCTCGATGCCCTTAGCTTCCACTTCCGCCTCCCGGCTCAGGCCCAAAGCGGCAGCAAAATACGAGACATCATAGAGGAATGTGGGGAACTAACGCTGATGCGGTGAGAAGCTTCAAACTGAGCAACAGAGAAAAAGGCAACTCCTCTAAGCCACTTATGTCAAAGTTGATTTTTTTTTCTTTTTTTTCGCTCAGACCCGATGGCTGCTTCAGCGATTCAGTTCTTGGCTTCGTTTTACTGTATATACAGTACCAGCTCTGCCCTGGTTTCCTTGGCCTAAACTGTGGTCTTTCACACCCACTCAGGGCAGTTCATCCACCCAGGGCTGCTATGTATGTTCGCCCAGAGACAAACCACCACAACATCACAGGCATAACCACACACACAATAGTGGGCAGAGCCCTGGGTGCTTTATGATGGGTCAGGCACACCATAACTCAGTGTGGTGAGGAAGATGAAAGAACAGCGGCAGGAGCGGGGAAACTAGAGGAACAGAGCTCCAGTTACACGGATTATATGAGAGGATGGAGGGAAGGAAGGAAGGAAGGAAGGAACGGTGGACAGCATGGCACCCTGCTGTTCTCTTTAACTATTTTTCATTCCAAAGTAATTGAAGAAAACATCTAAGCTCATCATCCAAGACAACAGCGACTGAAGACAGGGTGACAAAACACTCACCATCATAGGTAAAGTAGGCTCCGTCCTTAAACACTACGACTGCAGGAAGCTCTGGCAAAGACATTGACTGTCAAAAACACAAAAAAAAGTACTTTATTTTAAAGCCAGTTCCTTAAAATGTGCACCTGGAGAATATGCTACAACACTGTTGGCAGACTTCTTTGCATACTGCAAAAACATGCAACTGTTGGACGATAAAATGGGCTAAAAGAAGCCAGTTATTTGTTATATGTCAAAGTAGCAAAGCAACAAAGGATGCACAATACCCGAGATTATCAATAACATATGATGGCAGAAATATTAAACATATGCATCCTTCAGAAATTCATTGCATAACGCTTTCAAAAGACAAAATAAATGATTTAGATTTAAAGCATTACCTCTGGCAAGACATCCTCTGAAGCGGAGAAGAAGTAAGTATAAACAATGAGCTCAGAGGCTACGTCGTTGTACTTCTCCTGCAAAACAAAAGAGTCTTTCAGGATTTGCACAATAGTTTTTAATAAGTCAGAGCTGCAAAGGTTGACCACTAGAAGCTAATTCTGTGCTAACACTGTTACAAAAGCAGCAGTTTCTATCATTCAATCAATATAGGCATTTTTAGCTCTGAAGAAGCTTGGAATAAAATCTTGTTTGGAGACAGAACTGGTGCTTACTTTAAGGGGAGACTCCCCACCGACGTACACGAAAAGCACATCGTGTCGCTTCATCATGTGCTCAAACATCTGCTTGCTGGGAAGAGCTCGGACGGCCGGTCTGGAGGAATTAAACCCGCAGGGATAAGTTATTTTTAAGGAGTACTCAAATTAAAACCACAACAATGATGCACTAATGTGTGGAGTCCGGATTCGTGTACTTGTGGCACCACCCAGTGGGGATTGAAGAACCTGCAGCCCTGGACTCAAGTCAGAGCCAAGCTTTTGATCAACCCCTCTGTCACGGATCTAGCTTGATTTCCCTCAAGGAGGAGAAAATCTGTCAGGCTCAGTTTATACAGTGGCTTAAAGCAGAGCATCAGAGGCAGAAATCCATTGAGCTATGAAACAAATATGGCCTGCATTGATAAGCTGACTTGGACGGCTTTCATTAGTATACCCTGTCTTCCTGTGAAATAAGCAAAGTTCGACTCAGTTTGAAATGCTGGGACTTACCCTGCCACCCTGTTGGCAAACTCTACGATGTCGTCTTTTGTCCTCGGTCCCTTGTAATTGTAGGCGAGATCACCCTTTAACCTAAAAAGGAGGCAGACGCACAAAAACAAGAGTGAAAGGGGGATAATTTTGCTGCAGAACTATTCACCGTCATTTATTGTTTTGTGCCACGAGAATGACACTGATTAAATATTTATGTGAAAAAAGATGAAATTGTGTGACACTCATGCTTGCATTCAGGATAATCGTTTGTCTTTTTTTTTTTTTTAAATAATTCAGTGAAAGGAAAGAATGTTTCAAGGGAGGAAAAGCTCAAATTAAACTGTCTCATTAGACGATTAACTGTTGTCGTTGCTGAACCGAGCAAAGACGGCAAATATTATCTGCATCCAGCTGCTTTTTTTTATTATTTTACACAACATGTGGCCACTTTATTAGTCTACCTTCCTAATACGGCGCAAGAACCTTTAATTCTTTGTGGCATAAATTCAATAAAATGGCAAAGATGCCCCACTTCATGCTGTCTTTGAAGCACATCCCCGAGGTGCTGTTTGACTGAACACTGAACTCGCTGACATGTTAGTGGAACCAGCTTTGGATGATGTGAACTTACTTAAACGCTTACTTATCCTGCTTGCAGTAACCATTTACTGAAGCACATGGTCAGCAACCATCCAAGCGAGGAACCTAATGTGTGCCAAAAAGCACTCTGCACACCGTTTCACCACCGCCAGCCTGAAGAAGGCAGGACAGCGCCATTGATTCATTCTGTTTACGCCCAATTCTGACTCTACTTCTGCATTTTTTTCCAGTATTTATCTGTCCAGTTCTGGGGAGCCTCAGCTGTCTGATTCTTAGCTCACAGAGGAATAGTTCAGTTATGACACTTCAGCTTGTTACGCATTCAGACATGTTCTTCCGAGAAGCACTCTTGTAACGCTACTTGAGTTATTGTCGCCTTCTCGTCAGCTTTAAACCAATCCAGCGACTGTTTGACCTTGTCAGTAACAAGGACTTGCAATCACTGGATGTTTCTTTGTTTCGCACCATTGTCTGAGAACTCTAGAGACTGTTATTGCAAGAATCCCAAGAGTTTGGTAATTTTCTGTGATACTTCAACCAGCCCATCTGGTACTAACAATCATTTCACATTAAAGTCACTTAGATCTCATTTCTCTCCTCTGTTTGGTGTAAACAACCACTGAACCTCTTGACCGTGACTTAATGCCTTTATGCATTGTTTTGCTGTCAAACGAGGGGCTGAAAAGATATGAAAACGAAGAAGTAGGTGTAACGAATTCATTTGTTCAACCTTTATTTAAACTCGGATTACACGCAGCCGAGCGAGAGAATAAAAGATGTCGGCACAGAAATGAACTTGGATAATAATTAAATATTAAAAGGCAAAACATTTATGAGTGCATTTAAGTTTTGAAAACAAATCTACCAAAACAAGAGCAGCTGGACTTTAAACAGGATGAAATTAAAGACCTGAATTGGCCACAGTTAAAATGAGTCATGGTTTAGATTCGATTTTCCAACTTCAGTAAAAACAGCCAGAACCTGCAGCGTAATCCAGCCATGTGAGAGCGTATGGTGTAGGCCCACATCAAAAGACAGTAATGAGGTAATGTAAGGGGGCAAAGAACCAGTAAGAGCCTTATAAATAAATAACAGCCCGTGTCTGTCAAGTCTTACAGACTAACAAAGCAGCCACAGAGTATATTACTGTAAACTGACCATCTTTTGGTTTTGAAATGCTGCTCTCGAACTCTGTTGGGGGCATTTGAACTTTTTATTTTTTTACATTTTACAGTCCCAGCCATTGCCAAAAAGAAACAATGAACAGGTATATCAATAATAAAAACACTACACATTAGCTGCAGCCTTCCTTCAGTCCATTACAGACAGCACTTGTCTTTAAATTTAAAGCCTGCGTCTGACACCTGAGCATGACAAACCTGCCTCTAACAAAACGTTCTGATGAAACAGCAACTACAAGTAAAAGCTCATTCATCACAAAGGTCAACTTAATCTAAATAATCGCACCACCGAAGGAAAAGAAAAAACACCAAATTACTTTTTCCTAATTGAGTTCCAGCCAAGAAAACTGCTCGAGTCAAGTTGGTACAAGAAGCACAATGCATTAAGGATTGCTAAGGTTGCATCAGCCCACAGGGCTTAATGAACTCAGGGGGAAACAGAACTCTAAATCAAGTCTCCTTCTGTCACTGAGGGAGGTATCTCGTATTGTTCGATGGATGTTTCATCACTTGCTTGGTTTAATGTTATGAACCCTGCCGTGATCCTGTGGCACTTTCCTCAAATGGTCTTGATGAAACTAAATGGGGAGCCCATTATGACAGTGTGCAGATGAATGATTCAGTTTCAAATATGTGCAGGAAACTCCTCTGATGTCGGATGATCATTTATCTCGTGTCAACACGAACTCTGCTGTTAAGCAGCTGGTGTCTACCTAAACTCATCATTTTTTTTTTATATATCTATATATCAAAACATCACGTATACTTCAAGAAGTACTTCAAGAAGTAATTTCAAGTAACTTTCAAGAAGAATATCAGTTTAAACAGTTGGGTGGAGGAGAAAAAAAATCACACAGACTACATTTGTTGTTCAACGGATTACAAGATAAACTGAAGTGATTCTGGAACGTCCCAAAGAAAAGCCTGTAATATTACCAAGAGGCAAATGTAAATTCTAATCAGTAAAGCTGATTATCCCCTGATAAATGCACAATTAGCAGCATTCAGAAGTGCCAAACCTAATAAAATTTAAACTCAAAATGTGTTAACAGAGTTTGTCACTTAGATATGCCTTAAGGAAACAGCAATAACACCTTATTCCCTCCTGAATACGTTATCTAAGAGCATCTCTCCAGGCCAGGCCTCGAGGGATAAAACACAACAGTGGGAAAAAGGGTTCCTGATGATGACACAACACAAACTCAGGAGACGACACTGAGAGGGGGCAGAATAATAACGACAGTATACAATATAACATGATGTTACAGCAAATTCACAGCCTGTAAATACGATAAAGTTGAATCAGCGTTTCTCTGGTGCAGTCTTGAAAGTTAAATCACAAAATAAAAACTGCATCATTGTAAATTCATTAAGCCTCTTAATCACATGTGGGTTTTTCTAAGCCTATTCAAAGTGTCAAAACTGCAAATTCACATGGCATTTTACACGTTGAAAAAAGATTTGAATCAAGACAAATAGGAACACTTACAGTTTTATTGTTGGGTAACCGCGAACGCCAAACTCCGACGCCATTCCTGCAACACAAAGCAAACACTAGCATCTCAGAGAAAGTAGATAATAATAGTTCTGAAAGGCTTCAAACTTCAAAGTTTGAGAACCATCTGTCTCTTTGGAAGATTTAAATATCCTGTCGGCATCTTCTTCAAAGATTGAAATACCTTCCTAATTTAGTCTGACTGTAAATTCATGAATATTTGTCTGAGAGGATGTTGATTAAAAAACACAAAAAATGCAGGAGAATATGCATAAATGATTACTCTCAAGATACCGACTGCTAAATTAGAAATAGGATTATTGCATCTGTCCCAGTTTTTTGTCCTAAAACGATTGTGGTCAATTATTACTACATCAGTGCTGCCACATGTCAGAGTAACGTCCCGATGAGCAACCATAGGAACAGATCTGGATGTTGTTGAACAGCTCAGTCAATTAGAGGGACTCACCTGGAGACACACACAAGCTCCCAGGATTTACTCACCAGAGTAAGCGGTGGCATCCATCTTTCCCACACGTACCGGCGACCCCGAGCTCCTCAGCTCCACTCCCACATCGTACCATACTGGCTCGAGTTTTTTACAGTAGCCGCACCACGGAGCATAGAACTGAAAAACACCACAAGCAGGAAGCAAAATTTAAATCATGTGCAGCACAGACTGATTAAAAACCGCCTGTCCAGTATTGTGTACGTCCTCTTAGTCCCGCCAAAACAGCCGTGATCCATTGAGTCCTAGATTTTCCCTGTTATTCACCTCCCCTGTCAGTGGCTGATCTGTTTATATTACATTAATACTATATTACTAATACAATCACTCACAGTACAACAAGCAAATTGAATTTGTGACAGTAATGGTCTTTACTGTCGTGTTTGTCTACAAAAATGGATCCAAACTGTCTTTATGTGTCCATACAGCTTTATTTGTTGCTAGTACTTTAGAACACTTAAATATTCAGAATATGTGCAAAGTGGTAACACCAGAGCGGTTTTAGGCGATAAATGTGAATAACGTAACAAACACGGCCATAGCTCACTAACTTTCAATCCACTATTGCTCATAAAGCCCAGCTAAAGGGCGATTTAAGACACTTCTTTGCTCGCCAGTTCTCTGCTACAAAGGATAACAGTGGTTAAAATACAACAAACCTACTTTGTAGCTGTAGTCACTTTAATACAGTTGCACAGCAGATACTTTAGAAAGGCAGTTTATTTCTTTAACGAATTATCCTCAAACACTTTTAAACACCCACTAGCTTTCCTCTGAGGCTGTGTTTGTCTTTAAACACGCACACTCATCTTGTCTTCTTGCTTGAATTTGTCAGATTGTGACTAGATAATGATATAATGGGATCTGATGTATTTGATATACACATGTATATAATACCGAAATATTAATTGTAGATGATTGTCTTTGCATGCAACTTTCCTTTCCCGTGTAAGCTTTCCATTTTGTTGCAAGATTTCACTTTCCTTCTCCTGTGCTAATTTTAGTTGTTTTTCTGTTGGTGTAACCGTTAATCTACCATCCGATAAAGGGGACGGCAATTAAAATCAGCCGTCTGACGAACACTGACACATTTACTGATGCGCATTGTTCCTGAATAAATAATCTAATTAATAACAGCAGCTTTAAACACTATTTTTTGCTCATAATGTAGCAGGAAATACCACACTTACATCACATACAATATGCTTGATTTATTGTCTTTTTGTTGGAGCAGATCACACTCCCCCACAAGCCTAAAAAAACGCACAGATCAGATACATCCCCACCTTACAAAGCAGATTATTTGGAGTGTTTTTGTTTCGTTTGGTTTCTTTCATACCAAGCAAGACCAATATTCGCTTTCTCTTCGGTTCAATTTGGGCTCTGCCAACTCTTTACAAAAAATACCAGGCTCTGGAGCTTCTAATGGCTCCAATGTGTTCACCCACTACTCACCAACTTTGCCAGCTGTAAAAATTTCACACTGTACACGGAGGATGTACAACACGAATTTTTTTGCCAACATCCAATATGCCGATATTTTCCAACTCAAATTGGCTGAATGCTCTCATCACGACGGCCCACTAGCAGGATGCAGACGTACAACGCAATGCTTTTAAAATGGACGCATCTAGTTTAATACAATATTTACGAATAAAACTGTACGTTTTCAGCCCAGCACACATTTTCTGCCTGTCAGTATTTACTTTGGGCAAATGCCAATATGTTATTTGAAATCTTTTATCAGTCAATGCCGTTAGTAGCTGCAATTTAATGTGCAGTAAAAATCAAAACAATAGGCTACAAGAGGCTAAACGTTGCTGTAAAGCTGCAGAACTGGCAGACAAAGATGCTCTTTACATTCCACTATGATTTATTATTACATGTTTATTATTACGGCATAACAGAACTTGTTGTTTCACAAATTTGAAATCAGATTTCTCTGTGAATAGATTTGGCCGATTTAGATCAAATGTAATTTGGAGAACTGAAGTGTAACAAAATACAGTTGTGACTTCATGAGAAATGGAGACGCTGACATATTAAAACTCTCTAAATGTCAGAACTCACTCCTGCAGTGAAAGCAACTTTGGGCGCTTGAGCTAGATTTGCTTCTACGGGCCGACACACAAACTCCGATATAAACCTCTCCGAGCCCCCTGGCTTTGCCCGCCATGCATGACTTCTCATTCACTAATCACAAACACAGAGGACGGTCTGCAGATCCCCTCCCTTATTACATCCCACCCTGACTGCTGCCACTTCCGCAGGGGATGATCCAGACAGCGGAATGCTGGATATGAAGTAAAGCGTAGCTCAATGGACCCAGATTAGTTTTTGTGTGTTTGTGTACGTGTGCGTGTCTATATATAACGCCAGACTCACATCAACCAGCCAGATGTCATTCACTCTAGTGTCTTTAAATCTGTCAGAGAGGGGAAAAAAAGCGCACACAGTTAGTTTAATACTGGCATAATAACATGATAGTAATTGCACATTGAGTGAGTTACATTGTAAGAGGCTTTCCACATGTTAAACACAGTGCAAAGAGCAATAGTTACTGTACAAGCTGTTATGGTCGCAACTATTACAACTAATTTTTACTATTAATTATTTATTAGAAAATGAGATTGAAAACATCAAGACACAGTATTTTAAGAGTCTAAAATGCATTGTGTGACGAAGACAAGCATCACATTCTCACATTTGAATGGCAGGAACGTGGAAGACGGTCTTGAACAACTATTTGACTATCAAAACGGTTGCTGAGTAAGATGCTAGAATACTTTTCTGACAGACGACTAATGGACTAATTGTTCCACCCAAATTATTGATGTAAAATGCTGACTAAGCCACATGTATTTTTGTGCAACATTTTCAAACAAAACTGTAAACTTTGAGCCCAACACACATTACCTGACTGCCAGTGTTTCATTCTAAATCGCAGCCGATACCATTGTGCATCCCTACCGTATAACATGTGTGTAATAAGCGTGTAACTACAACATTAGTCTAAAATAGGATAAAAAGTACTGTAAAGGTACAAAACTGGGATGTGATGGTGCCTTTCGTGTTCCAGAAATGTTTATTATCTAAATGCTTAGCTGGTTGATAGTCAAATTAAATTTCTGTCAGTCAACTAATGGACTAGATGTTGCAGCTCAAGTTATTGTTAGTAAAAAGTTGAATAAACCGACCAAATACACAAAGAGACTGACCTGGTTTATAACAGATATATACACATACAACAGACATCTCTAATGATCTTCCACAACATGCATCCAATTAAAAAAAACACTGATCAAGTGGACAGATGAGCAGTAATCAGGACTACCATCATCCCTTCCTGCTTCTGTTTTAGCAGCTCCTTAGAAATCTAATGTAACCTGTAAAATCTAGGTGTATTGTATCATGTACTAGCTGCTCAGATTAGTCAAAAAAGCTCAAGTAGAGGAACCAACCGGATAGAAGCAACCACACCGTGTTTGTATTCTCGGAAGTTGCATTACAAGACCATGTTTTTGGGAGACAGTGGGCAGGAAGCAGAGCATGCAGGGGGGGCATCACTTACGTGTCATCTAGATCTTCAACAAATGCAAGCACAGCCGAACTTAGGAAAGCCGCTACAACTGTAAAGATAAAAAAAGAAACACGGGGGAGAAAAAAAAATCAGACAAAGTGCACGTTTATGTCAGTGTGAAGCAGCAGCAGCAGCAGCAGCTCTCCAGCCTCCTCCAGCCTGAAACCTCATGACTGAAGCATCCCCAGCTAAAGCTGTCGCCTCAGCTAACTGTGCTTCAGTTTTTTGCGCCACAAATTCAACCACAGCAGCTTTAAATGTCGCTTGAACGGGAGCCCCGAGAACAATTGCGATCTAGTGTTCACGGTACCGGAGAATAAACAAGTGAAACGTACCTCCACAAATCAGGGAAGCCTTCACTTCTGCCATCGCTTCGAGTGGAAACAGCAAAGCAGGAAATACAGCGGCTAAATCGCTCCTCTCTGCGCATGCGCGGGGTCACGCAGCCTCGTCATTCATATTTATTTATTTATTTGTTTGTTATTAAATTCATTACTAATATTATTCATATTTTATATAACATTAGAACTATAATTTTTACTTTCTCTTACAGATTTTCGAATTTGTTCGGTTTTTCGTGTATCATTTTGTAGCATCTAAAAAAAAGTTTCAATAAATGACGTAATGTGTTAGTATTTGAGTCCATCATATTGTATGTTTTTAACCTTTAACATTTACATTAGTCAGATTAATTTGTATTATATATGACACTGCTAAGTCTTAATCATTGCATTTAAATTAGTGGTGTACATTTGCTTTTTACATGTTATTGTAACGTTTGAACCATAATATTTAAATAACTTCACATTCACATGATAAATAACACTGTAGGGTCTTTATCTTAATATTTAACCATTTTAGATAAAGTCACTAATTTTGTTTCTCTGCTGTAAAGCACTTTTGCTCAATGGATTATAGGAATAATGGTGACTTGATTTGGCTTTCGCCTGTCTTTTTTTTTTTTACTACATGTTAGATTCCAGTTTTTCATTTTTTGTCATTTTTTATATACTAACAATAAGAAAAATGGATGTCATGGCTGTGGTTGTCATGTTTTGTGCTTGCATATAATAAACACAGCTGCCTATTGTATTTTCCAAGTCTATTTTTACAACAACAAAAAACAAAGCCATAACTAGTGAGTATTTCAACCTATTTTGACATTTTCTCTATTCTTTTCTTTGAATGTTAGCCCAAAGCTAAACAGAAGGAAACTGTGTGGTAAACATTGCATGACGCTTTGCTTAAATGTGCCTTTTTTTGAAACAATAGCCTGTATTAAACTACATTGAATTGGATAAAGTGATACTGATGTTTACTACCACAACAAGCCACAAGGTGTCCCTCTAAGATAACAGGCAACAGGCCAAGTCCTCACATGCATCCTTTGTATGGATAAAGTGGTGATATCACAACAGAAAGTAGTCCTGAATCAAAATGTTGCTTCAGGATGAACATTATAAACATCATGATACCATATATTCTCATATCTTACCCAGTTAATTGTAGATAATTGTACTTTGCTACTTCAGTAGAGCACAATTCTCAATAATTGTGCATTAAATGTACTTTTCAACAACCACCACAGCTGCTGACTGGCCTCTGTTTTTGTTTTTCTTGGGCCCTTAAGTTTCTTTCCATCATGCACAAATTTTAAAAAAAAAAACATCACATGAACATTTGTTTTATTGAAAACATATTTATTTGTTCTGGGACACTTTTAGAGTAATAATGTGTATCTAATACTGTCTGAATAGATTCAACATTGTCAAACATGTTAACACATACACGTCACCTTCCAAGTCTGTAACTGGAATTAACTTCATTTTGACACACCAAAGACTCATCTTACGTACGACACATACACATACAAGACATCACAAGACCTAGGATGGTTAGCTTCACAGAGTGTGGCTGACGTTGGACAAAATAAATTAAGTCTTTTGTGTAATTTTATTTTCATTTTATCTGTCATGCTGTCCTCGTTAAACTCTTTAACAGACTCCAGCTGGCACTGTGGGAATACTGATATGTTTGGAAATGTTACTGAAACACCGAAGTACCAGCATTTTGTTACTCATTCCCTTCACTGCATTGAATTGGTTCAGTACCATTTCAGTCATAGCTTCACGGAAAACGTAGATGAGTTTTATTTTATTGCACTGACTGCCATAAGCTTGCAAAAAAGTCTTAAGGTAGGCAGAGGTCTTTGTAGATTTTGTGATTTTTCAGAACAAACTCAGACAGACTTTCTTCAATATCAAACATTTTCTTCCTCGTGAATCCTGTTCATTCTTGCCTATAAGTGATGCTGTTTTCTATGCGAAAGGGAGGTTTCCAACAGAAATATGTCATTCTTGCAGCAAAGACAGACAAAACCTACAAATTAAAAGCATGAAATAGTTTCGTACCCTGTGAAAGAGCTGTACTTTCTCACGGGGCGAATCGTGATCATGACTGTGTTACTAAACAGACTCATGCGGAGGGCCGTTCTGCTGAAGGCTCATGTGCCAAGTTTGCGAGAGTTGAATGCCTTTGTGTTTAGAAGGGCAGAAACCTGGACACAAGCTGTTAGCCTACATTCAAAGGCCACAGTGGCTCCCGCGGTGACAAAACTGTCAAAACAACGGCGCCTAAGCCTACACAAATATACATTTCTGGCCTTTCAGTTGCGTTCAAAACATGCGCAACGCTCCACCGAGTTTCACGGTCTCGGTTTGAGAAATAAAAGTGTCCTCCCTATGGCGGGAGGGCCTATAAAACATACAAAGGCATGAATTTTAATCAAGTTCTTGCTGTTTTCACGCAACTTTTCCTATAGAAAGTTTCAGTACAGCAAGATCGTTTGTCTTCCTTAGATAAAGAGAGGTCTTGTTTCACCATCACAGGCCGAGCTGCAGACTCCCACATTCACTGAGACTGTAGTCAGCTGTCTGCCCGAGCCCACTCATGTCATCTTACAGAACGGGATAGAAATGACCTCAATTGACCCACGAAACAAAGCTTTCTTTGCCCCCGTTTTTATCATCGGAGGGCAACAACAACAGCAGCGAGTTGATTCAGTTTTCCACATAAATGGCAACACTCGGTCTCTGCCCTCATAAATCCAATTATTTGTTTATGAATATAAAATGAGCAACATTACAAGCGACATGTCTAACACGATTACATTCTAATTTATTATTCAGACAAAACATCATTAAAGAAAAAAAAATCCAAATAGGCAGCATTACGTTCTCACTTTGGAAAGAGAGCGTCGCAACAAAACAATAATTACACTTTTAATTCTTTTTTGCGTTCTTCAATTTGACAGTAGACCAAGAACCAAGTGAAACAAAAGCACCATGGAGAATCATTTTCCAGCTTATGCTAACAAACTGCAAGCTTCATGATTCTTGCTCAGTGCACCAACTTATAGAAATATTTGCTTCTAGTCTTTTACCAAATAGCCAAATATCTCATCTTTTTGTTATTAGAACCCATGTAGTCCAGTTTCACTTGGCTCTCAGAGTACAACCATGTAACTGCATATCACAGCAACAAAATAGGACTCATCCTATGAGTTTTAAGCTGGTACACAAACAGAAAACAAACTTGCTAAATGCTGGTGATGGCTGCACCATAAACAAAGATCATACGCAAAACTTCACGTCGGCTTTCTGTCTTTGCAGATGCATCATAAATCTCTTAGCAAACCAGGCCGACAGCATCGTAAGAGATTAAATGAGAAAGACAGAACAACTCAGTCCAAAACAAAGAGTGCTGGTCGATTCAAAAAGGAGTAAATGGTCCAATAAGTTACATTTATTTCCTAAAATTCGGCTGATGTGTGGTTCTCACTCCGCCGGTCGCAGTCATACAACAAACCGCTCATATAGAAGGTTTCAGTCCTTTTAAAGTGGCCGAGCAGCATGTTTTAAAATGTTGCTGAGGACTGAGGACGCCCACTGCGGCTACGTCACCTGAAAGCCTTTAACAGTCAGTCTCGAGACAACAAAAGGATGAGGCACACTGGTGACGTCACATAAAGTGGATGAAGACAAACTGGTGCTGCTGTTGTGGCTGTTTCTTCGAATGTCCCGGTGCATATAGTGCACCAACCGTAGAAGCCGGAGCAGCATTGAATCGGAGCAGCTCCGTGCAGCATTGCATAGTTCGGTTCCACTGTAGAGTACATGTTTCTCAGTGATAGCACGAGATTTCCATCGACGGGCATCTGCTAGATATGTCCTCATTCCAGGATGTCAGTTTCAAATGGGACCAGATGGTAGTAGGACAGGTTGGTGACGTACGCTTCTGTTTCCTCGTCGCACACATCTGCTTCCATTGGCAAAAACTCTGTTCCATCCTCATACCTGACAAGAAAATGAAAGACAAATTACTCCAAGGACAGAAAGGACTTGTGTGGTTTATGCTAGGATTTGGAAGTTTGGTGTAAATGATTCGAGGCTTTGTGTTAATTGACTGCATCAACCCTTAGAGACAAGGTCGGAGCACTGCAGCAGCAAAAATGTAATCAGTCATTTATAGAGTGATGCAAAGTCTTGTTTTGTGTGAAGAGGAATGTGTTCCTCTTTTGCTTCCTACACACACCCAGGGAAGGAAGAGGTGCACAGACACACTTCCTGTGCTGCACAAAGGGACTGGAGGGTCCTGGGGTTGGTTTGCATTCAAGGATTTCTTCACTCATCAAAGCAATTACTGTACACTCAAACATGGAAATCCTTACGTTTGTGGGAAAACAAGCAGGGAATTTGTATTAGGTTGCAACCAGCTTGTACAATGACTCACTCTGGGTCAAATAATGAGGCTCTTTGGATGATTTTCAAAATCTTTTCCACCAATCTGACTAAGTAACCCGTGTAGAGGCAATTATAATAATGACTGGAACATAAAAGGACAGAAATATTTATAAGTGGTCTTAATACTCACGTATGTTCTACAGAGTCAGTGGATGAAGGTCTCTCTTTTTCTTCGGGGATACTGTGATCAAACACGATGGTTTCTGTATTGGCCAGACAGAACCCATTGGACCGCATGATCTCTACAAGGCACAGAGTACAGTATTGCATCACCAGTTCTGTTAACACGACATTTCAGATGCCATCAGTTCATTTCACAAGAAAACGTACCTGATATCTTGATTGGACTCTGAAAGCATGGCTGGATTCTGTGGACTTTGTCGTTTCTTAACACCTGATCCAACGGCGATCGCTCAAAGAAAGTCAACATGACCTCTGACCTGGAATACTGTCGAGCAAAGTTTACAAAGGTTTACATCGCTGTAAGTTTCCCAACATCACCTAACGAGTGTCTTAACATGGCACATCAGGGAAACACTACTGTGATATGTTGTTTAAGTTGAACTACTGACCTTGCATGGCATGTTGATAGCGTTCTTCAGTAGTCTTTCCACCTCGTTCAGCTTTTCCTCAATGTCGCTCGCCTCTTTGATTTTTACCAGCCCTGCAATCACATAAATACAGTATAAACATCTAAAAGCACTGATTGCAGTATGGTGAGTTTTAAACGTTTAGCTGCTCATTTGGGCCAAATATCCAACCAAAATGAGCACAACAGTTCTTTTATGAATCCCATCTTTGTGCAGCTTTTGATTGAAAGGCATTGTTGTTTAAGTTGTCATAGAGATCCAACTATAATATCTCAATAATTATGCAATATATTTCTATGAAATCTTGTACAAACGTTTAAGGTAACTGGAGGATTAATTCTTCAGACTTTGTTAATTCAATGACATTTTCTCTTGAGGTTGATATTCATGGTGGAGAGTCATATATCATATCATTGATGGGTTGATTTGAAATTTGGTGCCGACACTCTGGTGCCTTCTGGATACAGTTTTGATTGAGCTAATGAGTTATCAGTTAGCACCACCATTGGGTTAACAATTAACTTTGCCATATACCTTGTTTTAGTATTAAATGCCAGAAAACGTTAGGATATTCATGTCAGACTCAGCTGTACTTTGTGTTGAGCACTAGACATTTATAGGTCATGTTAGCATGCTAAAATGCTAAACGCTGATACTGAGTTTTGTAGCAGCTAAACACAGCGTGTTAATAATAAACACTGTTGCAGATCAAGCACAGCCCCTCCAATGGCAACAACACTTCCCAACAGCAGCAGCTTCCAAACTTCTCAGAAACTGCTAGAGGAACATGACCTAAAGGATCCACTTGTAACGTCCTGGTGTCAGGAATCAGAGGACACCCCTAGATGTCCTATTTCAGTTCCCAGATGTGTCACAGATGTGTCAGAGCTGTTTTGGGAGCACAAGAGGGACCTGGCTGGTACTTACTGAATGTTTTTAGTTCCATTAACTGAGTGTTTTTATGTGAGTTGGTGGTTAGCTCCATCGCCTCACAGCTGGAAGATCCCCAGTTCGCGTCCCAATTAGGATGTCTGGGATCTTTCTGCATGGAGTTTGCATGTTCTCCCCATGCACCGTGGGTTCTCACCGGATTCTTCCTCCCACAGTCCAAAAACATATGTCCATAAACAATTGTCTATAGGTGCGAATGTGAGTGTGCTTGGTTGTCTGTCTCTAAGTGTAGCCCTGTGATAGACTGGTGACCTGTTCAGGGTGTCCCCTGCCTTCACCCTGAGTCAGCTGGGATAGACTCCAGCCCTCTGCGAACCTAGTGAGGATTAAGCGGTGTATAGATGATGGATGGATGGATATATTTGTTCACCCTAAACGCCTCTCTGCAGAATGCAAACCTCCCTTAAGTCCAACCTGACTATATCTATATAACAAAACTAAAGGTACAAAGAAACTTTCCCCTTATCAAAATGCCAAGTGTAACTATTCCTGTGCCTGGACAATAAATAATGGCAGCTGCTACGACCTTTGCTGCCACCAGAGTGTTATCTGTCAGTACACAAAAGCCACATAGGTCTAAATTTATCCTAAGTTTAGACAAAGGTTGCCTATAACTGTGAAAAAAAGACTGTGATGTAGCTTTTATTACAGTAACCTTTGCATTAACAATGCCCCCTGATATTTACCACACGTAAGACCAGAGAAAAAAAGATCACAAATCATTGTCTGTAAAGCTGGCATTTGTGCAACAGCAGTAATAACGGAGCAAAGTAAGAGAGGCTACAAAACAACGTCTGTGATAACACCTGCATAAAAGTAGGAATGCAGTTTAGGAGGTAGCGGGAGCAGAAAAATCAGCACATTTAGCAAAACAAGGCTGCCGCCCATGAGAGCGAGCAGTCAGCAAAGCATCATTGACTGCCATGCTGACAAAGGGATGCGGCGAGCAGAATAATGATGAAGACTGCAGCCACATGATGAGGCGCTCGTCTGATGCGAGTGGTACAGACGAAAACGTAGTCACACAGCGGTTACTGTTACATGGAAGTACTGAGTAAGAGAGCCTAAAGCGACTGTGTGCACACTCACAGCTTCATCCATTTATAATGGCCCACGCTGATGACATCATTCCCAGGGGGGCGTGAGGAGTGATCGGGCAGTTAAATCATCACCAGCGAGACTCGCGCACAGGCTGCTGCTCAGACTGTCTCCGGCTCGCCTCCTTTTGTTTAACATACAAATTCCCCTGAAAGCCTGTTTATTGTATTCGTTGTAAATGTGACAAATCATATGTGTTTAGGCAGATTTGCTGCATTGTTTTATCCATAACAGAACAGCTGAAATTAAGGTTAAAAGCAGTTTAAGTCAATAGCTATTTCTAAATGTAAGCTTTTTAGACTTTACTGCCAACATTCAATATTCTAAACATGGAAAAAGTACATCTGATGAGCAGTGAGATGCAGGAGAATCTCAGATTAAATGGAAGCAGTTGTACAGACTGTAAATTGAAAATTCCTCAGACTGTCTTCCAGTAAAAAGCCCTGGTCAGGAAAAATAACCTCTACAGTATCAGAACCAGTCCAGAATATTGGAAACCGATACATGAGTTCAAGCTCTCTTGTTACATTATCTAGTTTAATGGTCGGACATTTAGTTTGAAAAATAAAGCCTTAAGGAGCTACAAGTCAGTCTCAGTCAGCAGCAGTTAACATCTTAAACGGAAACACGGCCGGGATGATGACTTCCCTGCAGAGACCTTAAACCACGCCTGGCCTCGTCAGTTGTTATCCATGGAGACAGATTAGCTAAGTTTATGTCCTACCATGTAAAGCAGTGATGTTATGGTTCAAATAAAGGAAAGTGCATGTTATTTATTGGGTGCAGACGTGCAGCACACCCAGGGTGCACATGGAAACAGGGTGATATTAGGGACACTAATTATACTCAAGTCCAGCACAGCTCATCCAGAGAGAAACAGAAAAAGTATTCGGCAGCTCAAATATGCTGCTACGAGCAGATGACGTTGCTTTTTGATTAAAGTTTTTTTTTTACTTTGTTAACATGTTGACATGGTGTTTTTTATGTGCTCGAAGACACATCATGAAATACGCAGTCAAACAGCATTTCTGAGCATTTCCACCTTGAAACGGCAGCGCACCGATGACAATCCTTAAAACACAGATTCAAACTTTCAGGATTTCATATGTCATAAGCTTAAAGAACCAATCCTGTCAACTTGCAGGCTGAGGCTTTCCATGTCTTTACTCTTTACTGAGAATCTGTTACAACTTGCCACTGTGTTGTGTAGAATAGTTTGTACAGTGTTTGAGCAGAATTGTAAGTGAGCTGGTGTGCTCAAGGTGCAGCAAGCAGGGAGGGTTGCACAGAGAGAGTTTATAGAACTGCAATCATGTATAGTACCATCTAAGCCATGTTAAGACAGGAGGAATTTACTTTCATGGGAAAAAAAACCTTTCAAATATGTAA